AGTAGTATCTTACAATGTAAAACTATCCTGGGTACATGGCAGCAGACCCAAAAAACTGGGATAGGCAGATAAAAGGAAGAGGAGGACAACAACACTCAAAAACAATCTTTGCCTGCCTTATGTGAAGGGGTTATTTTGAGAAAAAACAAAGGATCTGTGGTCCATATAACATCAGGACAACCTTCAAAAGCTTGACGACACTTTTTAGATATCTCCCCAGGTAAGACCCCCATAGAGGAGAACATGACTAAAGACTGTGTGTACACTATCCCATGCAGCTGCGGAAAGAAAAATATAAAGGGGAGACAGGCCGCCCCCTTTTCATAAGGCTTCAAGAACACCAGAAAGCTGTAACACGAGGGGAAGTGGAAAAATCAGGCATGGCTGACCACATATGGAGAGAAAAGGGAGATCACCACCCTCTGGGGATCAGGTTGAGATCATAGACAAAAAACACCATTGGAAAATTCATAAACTTAAGGAATCAGCACATATGCTAGGCCACAAAAATCTCCTGAAGCGAACAAGCATAGAAATGAATACAATATGAGAACCAGTAATAAGGAGTGCCAGAGAAAAGCAATAACAACAAAAAATTGCAATATGAGATCCAGTAAAAAACATACAATGATAACAGCAAAAATTGCAATATGAGCACTGTTAAAAAAAGGTTTCTGAAGACATTAGGTTTATAATACCCAGAAATTCATACACAGATGTCCTCAAGGACACATGGCACAGTGGATAAAGGCGTTAGTTAGATCCAGTGACTGGACCCAAAAGAGTGTGAGTTCAATAAGGCAGTGGATTACTTTCAGAGGGAAATTAACAGGAGATAACTGACATCCATCAAACATGGCATGTGGAACTAGAACAATCTACCCCAGTGAGTGAAATAAAGGGTTCATTTTGACATCCTAAACACCTGAAGAAGGCTGGAGCGCACAACAGCCGAAACGTTGTAATAAATATGGCGACAAAGATGAGAACAATAGTCCGAATAATGTAAATAATGTACTAAATTCCATGTTCTCCATTAACTATTCCACTATACTTCTCTATCATAATTACAATTATAGTTATTTTAAAACTTCCTCATCTAATGAACTGAGTTTTTTTTTTTTAATAACTAACTTAGAGAAATATTTTCATGTTGAAATGTGTAAAACAAAATTTTACAAATTAAAAGGGAAAATAAATAAACTTGCTACTGTTAATATTTAATAAAACAATTTTATTTTTTATTTTTTTTACATATCCAGATCATTGAAAAATATAAGAATTTAATTATTACTTAAGCAGAAAACCCTGACAAAGTAGACAAAAGGAATCTATTTCTATATATTTTTTGAGAATCAAGAATGCTTGCTCATTCAGTATATGACAATGTTCATGATATTTTTTTATTATTAAAATAAATGAATTCAAAGTTTCATATGTTCAACTTTGATTTTCATTCAGGTGAATTTAAAAGATGTTTTGATTTGAATGTTTTCCAGATCATTTTCAGTTGACATAGTATAGTAAAATATATTCTAAATTTCTATCAAGCATCTTGTGTGTGTGTGTGTGTGTGTGTATGCTTTCCATAGATTATCTGCTTTTTATATATATAATATTGATTGCATTGACAAGGTTACTCAACGTCAGTCATTTGATTATATTACAGTACTTATATAAGCTCTGAGAGTTTTAACATTTTTTGTTTTGTTTTTTTAAATTTTGAAAGCATGATCTAATAGTACATAACTTAGTTTCTTTTTTTTTATATATTGGACTAATTTGATAATATTGATTTTAAAAAAAAAAAGAAAAAAAAAAGAAGTTCACTAAATCTCATTTGATCTCGGCTTCCATAAAATCCAAGGATATTCTGCAGCTTTTTTTTCTATTAACCTACTCATGGGTAGCATCACTTTGAATGATCTAAGAGAAGCATGTACTTATATTCTGGGCTTATGGACATATCACGTTGAAATGCCATTTCTTGTATGATACCCAAAGTTAAGCAACATTGAGCCTGGTCAGTACTTAGATGAGTGACTGCTTAGGGATACCAGGTGCAGTATACCTCAATGTGTAGGTGGATAATGGTTTGAAATTGGAGAGCAGAGTTCCAATTACAGTCAGATTCATTATATTCACTTATGTCCAAATATATAATAAAGGTATATATTCACCACATCTCCCCTCACCTATGAGTTAGCAGAACTTGTATCAGTAAATCATATTAAATATTTTAAGGCTTTTTTGGTGATAATAATATCACCAAAAAAGCCTTAAAATATTTTCTCACCAAGTCCAAGCTCACCATCTGGTTGGATAGGATGGGAGCATCTTTGATTATTATCACCAAAATAGTCTTAAAATATTTTTTAAATAACCTGCAAAAGGTTGATAACCCATAAAAAAGCAAATCACTCAATCAGCTAACTGTATTCTGCATGTTGATATATGATATATATCAATTCATTAAGTTCTAATTGCATTAAAAAATGATTTCCATTTATATTTCATGGCTGTAATTGTACACATATATTGATATATAATTAATGATGATTAATTTGTGGAAGTACTGAAAAGTTCTCAGCCCAATCCATTTCCCAAAATCTGGTCAAATGCAAAAGATCAAACACTGGATTTTTTTTTTAATTATTTATTTTTAATGGGGTGGGGAAGAGATTCTTGGTTGGGTCAAGAACTTTTTAGGACTCCCTTGTATGAAAATAGGCTAGAAAGAATTGTTGAGAAAAAAAGTAGCTCAAAGCATAGGAAATTGTGATTATAAGTGGCCTGAATGTAATGCAATGGGATAAAAAGTTAATTATTCATGAACAATTATGAGGAAAGAGCCATGATGGATTAAATAAGGAACTTGTTCTGATATAATGTTTCTAACCCTTGACCTGGAAAACTTTAGAAGAGCAAATTATATATATATGAGAGAGAGTGTATTTGGGGAGAAATTTTACATTTATACAACTTTGCTTAAAGACTAGTAAAAATTCTTTGTTAAGGATTTTCTTATTTTTATAGTTTGACCTATTTTCCTTATTTACAGTGAAAGTTTGAATATAGATTCTCCAATGTTTGAGTGCTTTTTGAATTGCATAGGTCATCATCAAAGAGGCCTTTTATTTATTTTTTGTGCTATATCAATTTCATATATCAAATGTGGACAACTACAAAACAAAGATACCTATTAGACACACACACACACACACACACACACACACACAAATATACATTATCTTTCAAATTCTACATAGACAATGTTACACTTACACACATGAATTATACACACAAACACTGCTTGACAAGACAGGTGCACATGAAGTTTGCTTAACTAATGAAAAACAAAAAACACATATATATATATATATATATATAGTGTGTGTTTCAAATTTGCCATCATATAGGAAAAAGTACTCACTGTTGTGGATGCAGCAGTTGTAGATATTAACAATGCAGAAATAGAAATCAATACAGCATGTTGACTATCAGTTTCATGCCTTAAGTAATCATCATGTTTGATGATTGCTTAAGGTATGAAACAGCTAGTCACTATATTGTATTGCACCAGAAATTTGGAAATGGCATGCTATACTACTTGGCATTTAATCTGGGAACTCCAATACGAACATTTCAGAGTGTTTGGGTGTCATTCTGAGTACAGTGCATTGTATTTGGAAAGAGTCAGATGAGTCTAATGGTGATTACAAAGGTACAGTACCTCAGAAAACTCGCTCTGATTGTTCTATGAAGAAAAGAACTCCCGAATTTGTTGGTGAGGGCCTCAGACTGTACACTGAGGCCTACATCAAACGTCTTGAAGAGGTAGTGCTGCCCTGGGTCAAGAGGGTAGCTGCTGGAAGACCCTATGTCTAGCAACAAGACCCTGCAGCATAACCCAGACATAGCTGTCAGGCAATTTCTACAACCAAATCACCCTTTACATCTGGCTACCTAAGACCTTGTAACATCAAAGATGAACTGAAAGCAAGGATTATGGCAACATTCACCAGCTAAAACAAGGAGACCATTCAGAAGAGTTGCTGGAGATTCCAAAGTTGTCTGGAGGCCATGGTTAAAGCCAATAGTGATTTTATTGAATAAATTTACTCTTTAGTATTTTAAGATATTTTTGTGTAATTTTGGTAAATATATTTGTTAAAATGAGATGTCAGTGTTATTTTAAATTTTGTTTAGATGACAATTTATCGATTAAACCCTGTATATACTGGACTCTCCAGTCATTTTTGAGGTATGAGGTTCAAACAGCTCAGTTCTTAGAACCAACAGCCAGATTAGATGCACATATTTGATCAAAATGCTTGTGCAGAACCAGCCACACTTTCTGGAAGAGTCAAATACAGAGAATTGGTGCACAGTTTGCTACAAGGTACTCAAATTACCTTTCACAGGTTTTGAATTCAAAATTGTCCTTCTCCTAGGTCAGGTGGCCACCCAAGGCTATAGGACCCAGTCTGTCGTGCTATTTATCCGTAGATGGGGAAGGTAGGGAGAAGAGATGGCTTCATACATTTCCCAATTGAATGTAATGAATTCAACTGGAATTTGAACTTGGTTCTGGTTCCTCAATCCAAGCCATAACCATTACTCCACCATGCTTCTCCACACACACACACACACACACACACACACACACACACACACACCCACACACACCTATATATATATATATATATATATATATATATATATATATATAGGAGGTGCTGAAATGTTATTGTATTGACTCACTTCCCAAGATTGGTATTCTGATATTTGGTCATTGAAATATTAATTTTGAGAGATGGATTAGGCCAATGAACTTTTCAGTACTCTATTGTATAGATAATGTGTAATCTTCCTTTTTACCCTTTTAAAGTGTTATATGGAACTTTTTTCTTCAAACATTTTGTTGAAACAAAATTGTTACATTAATAACTATACGGTCATTTGTGTGAAATTGAATGTCTCTTTTCATGTTTACTCAGAAACCACGTTACAGTTTTTCCAGAATGCAAGTGTTACATTGTCTGCTTCTTTCTTTTCAGCTACCGCTAGAACCTCAGGGTCAGCTACAAATTCAAGTTCGGCATTTCCCAGAAAAAGATGGTAGGTTTTATTCTCCATTGTTTTTTTCCAACATAATACCTAATGTTCCAGTCATCATTTTCAAGTCAGTTATTTTTTCCTCATTATTTTTCTTGTGAATTCTTTCTCACAAAAGTAAAACAAGAATGTCTTATTCACAGGTTTTTAAAAGTTATTATCATCAAAATGTATTGTTATATAGCTATTAACATGCTATTAAATTAGGTTTTAGAAAAAAAAAACTTTTATTATGATGGATTTTTTTTTATAAATCTGTTATCAATTCTGAAGCTGATTTTACTTTTGTTGCACTTTTTTTTTTTTTCTAAGAAAAATTCCCAATGTAGGTTTGCCTGAAAAATTTTTAAACGATCTGTTTGTCCATTTTTACTGTATATATTGTATTTTAACTCAAATATTGGATATAATTGCCAACAATAATTTGTGGCCAGTTTAGCAACAGCTAGTAAGTAGTTTCTTAAAATGAAATTGACTCTCTTCAGATTTATTTTTATTTACTAATGTTCACTCAATACAAGGCTTGAGAGTCACTCAAGGTAGAGTGAATAAAATATTGAGTATAGGTAAGATTATAAGGATATGGAGTATTGGCCCTTGATTTGAAATATGTTAGTTTAGTATGTGCATGTAGTGTAACTGTGCAAAAAATGGAATTAGCATGCTGAGTCCACATTCCATCCTTGTTTCTTGCATTTATTTTCACACAGATGCTCTTAGAGAAAGGCATGAATCCATCTCTTCTCCCTGTCTCCAGTTATGGGTTGAAGAGAAAAGTAGATTCAACTTTCTAATCTTGGTTAGTAACCAAAGGAAAATTGACCATTGAGAAGGCAACAGGGGAAACTACTTCATTATCTTTGCTAAAAACGTGTGGTAGAGCATAGATAATAAAAAAATGGGAAGTTGTGGAGAATCATGATTTAGGAATTAAAACATTGGTCTGATGCAGTATTTAGTTAAGTCTTTGAATAGTCTGCTCTTATTGGTTGACACATCTCTGGGGAGCTTTTTTATTTTCTTTTATTGGCTTTCACATTTCAGAATTTTTTCTTTTCGTATTAGCATTCCAAAATCCTAGGAAGGAGCTGAGAAACAGAAAACTTTTGTTAGAAACAAGAGATAGAGTGCAGGATTGCTGTGTGATATCCATCCTTTTATATGGCAGTTAATATTGGACAATCTGCCCACGGATGAGGAGAAAACTGGAAGCCGTAGAAATGTTGTTCTACAGAAGGATACTGAAAATTCTATGGACAGAGCGAGTAACTGATGAGGAAGTCTTAAAGAAAATGGCAGCAGAAAGAACACTTTTACTCAGAATCAGGAAAAGGCAGCTGAAATTGCTTGGAGGCATAATGAGGAAGGAAGCCTTGGGAAACAATATTAATTAAACATATTGAGGACAAGTGAGAGAGGGGAGAAGGCAGCAAGCCACTTACCTGATGAGCTTGTATAACTGGATGGCAGAACTGGAGAGCAAGTTGAGAAAAACTTTTAAGAGCCACAGGAGATATAAAGTTTCAGAGAAACATGATTGCCTTTGTCTTCAAGGGATGCAGCACATAGAAGATTAGTTTTACATCTTAATCATTTTAAGAGAAACAAGATGCTTTAATGAAACCCATCTCCCATATTCATCATGTAGACTTATAAACTAAGGATGATTTGAAATTTTATACATGCAATAAAATATTAAAAAAAAATATTAAACAAGACCATTTTTATATAAATTAAGAGATTTTAATTTTATACTTTGGTATTGATTTTTACTTTGATTTGTTTAAGTATAATTTAGTCAATCATTTATGTACCCTGAATTATTTGGCTCAATATTGTTACTCCAATTAAAATAATTTGCTAAATCACTACATATTTGTGCCACATCTTAGCATTTTTTAAGGCTTCATGTGTTACTCAGTGTAACTATCTGATGATTTTGGAGAATATCATCATCAGTCCCATGACTGGATGTTGTCATAGGGTCTCTGTGCAGTTGAGCACCTGCCCAGCTCCCTCCAGATGTCCCAGTTGTGTACCAATTTCTGAGTCTCTGTGAATGATCTTGCAGTTCACTGAGTGATGTTGTCATCACATATTTTTTTCTTTTGTCTGACTCTTCTTTTTGCCTTAGAACACTTTTGACAGTCTCATTGGTCAAAATATAGTGATCAAAACGAAAAAGATGAGGATAGTAGTTTCTGTAATTTATGGAATACCAGTCTTCTAAACTCCTACTCTCATCCTTGTATCAGACCATTTGTGTCCCCATTTATATTGAGAATTTTATTTCCTTCAATTTGTTGCAGTAAAACATATGCTTTTTGATTTCTTTCTCAATGCTTTTATAAACTGGGCAGTTAGGTCAGAAACAGAATAATTATGAATGTTACAAGAATAACCAAGTCATACATTTAGTGTATTAGGCTTTGGTACCGTAGTCCAGTTAATTAAACTATCCAATTGTTATTACTCTTTTTTTATGAAGGTTACTGAAAAGAGTTCAGCATCTTAATCTTGTATTTTAAGTCATGTTATCAATTAAGAATGCAGATAAAAGATTAAAAAGATATACTGAGTAATGTTAATGAAGATGCAATATATATTGTATTCATAAACTAAAAATGGATTATTGGAAGGAGTAATTAAGACAGTTGTCACAAAAATATCTTGGTTGACTTTTTTCTACTTATTTTTTTTTTTTTTTTTTAATCCAATATATTCAGTTGGAATTCAATCAACAGCATGAATATAAGGCTTGACGTGGGAATTTCTGTCCCTAAAGACTGCACAGCTGCTAACACTTTCTCACTCATTAAATGTATTTAAGTAAACGATCTAAAAAAAAAATTTATATATTCTCTCTCTCTCTTTCATTCTTTGTAATGTTTGCTATTTCCACTGAGTGTTTTTGTGTACTTACACATATATACATAATTGGGTAGTGACTACACTTCCTGTCAGTCTTTGATAACTATTGCTTGATTGTGGAAGACAGCACTGAAGCAGAGAGACTTGATATTCCATACAAGATGCCATTTTGGTGACACTTATTACTCTGTTTATTTGAGAGAAAGAAAATGATTTCCAACCCAGGTAAAAAGAAATCAAATTCCCTATTGAATACTTTTAATTATTTTTCATTTTTATAGATGAGTAATCTAGATCACATGACTTTAATAATCGCCATATTGTGTCTTGTGTCGTTTCTTTTGTTGTATTAGAATTTACTTACATGTTAATGATATTGTGGCACAAAAAATTGTTTTTAATTGTCTATACAAATTACAGAAAGCATCCATTCCTTTTTAAATATCTGCTGAAACTATTATCTAAATATTTATTGCTATCAATAAAATATGCATTTGTAAATTTTTCAAAAATAATTAAATCCTAACTTTAATATTGCTGTTATGTCATAACCCTATACAGTTGTATGTGATATTGCTGTTATGTCATAACCCTATACAGCTGTATGTGATATTGCTGTTATCTCATAACCCTATACAGCTGTATGTGATATTGCTGTTATGTCATAACCCTATACAGCTGTATGTGATATTGCTGTTATGTCATAACCCTATACAGCTGTATGTGATATTGCTGTTATGTCATAACCCTATACAGCTGTATGTGATATTGCTGTTATGTCATAACCCTATACAGTTGTATGTGATATTGCTGTTATGTCATAACCCTATACAGCTGTATGTGATATTGCTGTTATGTCATAACCCTATACAGCTGTATGTGATATTGCTGTTATGTCATAACCCTATACAGCTGTATGTGATATTGCTGTTATGTCATAACCCTATACAGCTGTATGTGATATATAGCATTGAATGTTATTTACACTATTTACATATGGACTATTGTCTCCATCTTTGTTATTACATTTCTGCTATTGTGCCATCTGGCCTTTATCATGTCTACAGGATATTCCAAACTGAATCCTTTAATCTATGGGGATAGACTGTTCTCATTCTAGAGATGTCTCATCTAGTTCTTATTTTTTAGTACTGCTCAGTTATTGCTCACCCTGTTTCCACTGAATTTAAGTACATACTGCCCACCCCAAAGATTGAGAACATTCTTCTCTCTGTAGATTAAATAAAAGATTCAGCTTGGAATTTTCTGTAGCTTACCTGAATTGGCATACACCTGAAGTCCAGAGAGCACAATGACCAAAAGGTTGTGATAATAACAACAAAGATGAGAACACTAGTCCACATATAAATAGTGTAGGTAATGATAAATCCTCATCTGTTGTGCTCTCTGGCCTTTATCAGGTGTATATTTGTCCATGTAACCTACAGGGAATTTCTATGAGACAATAGCCTAGTGGGTTAAAGTGTTGGTTGATAAATTTGGTGGCATAGTAATTGTAGCTTCAATTCCTGAGCTGGTCAGTGTATTCTTGGACTCAGTGGAAACAAGGCAAGCAATAACTAAGCAGCACTAAAAATAAAAACTACAGAAGATATACCTAGACATCGGTAGTAGAATGAGGGCAGTCAATCTTCATAGATTAAATAATGAGTTCAGTTCAAAATATCCTGTAGGTTACACTCATCAATATACACCTGATGAAGGCCAGAGAGCACAACGCTAGAAACATGATAACAACCACGATGAGGACAATAATCCACATGTAAATAGTGTAAATAATAACACTTCATCCCAGAAATTTAGATAGAAAGTGTTGGATATACTGTAAAAAAAATTTATGACATTAGTTTGAGAAATTATTTCCCTATTTCATGTGTCTAACTTTTAATGTTACTCATCACATTTTAGGAAGCTTTGAAAATTTATATCTAATTATACTTATTTAGTATAACAAAAGTGCTTTAATATTTATGGTACTAATTTATATCATTATTTTAGTATAATTAATATTATTTAAAATAACTTTTAAATATCATCTATACAAAATTGAAGTTATTAGTTTTGGTTCAATTTATTTATTTTTTTTTTCATCAGTACAAACTTATTTTTAGGATTGAAAAAAGCTAATGTTATTCTTTTATCCTGTACACTAAGATACAATCACTTAAAAAAATCTTGTTAAATGAATGAAGAAAATAGGTTAAGTAGCATTGAATTTATATCAGAAATTTCATTTGGCCTGCTCAACAATATATTGCTTAGTGGATCAAAATGAAATCCTTTAATTGAAATCTTAATCGTTTTGTAGTGTTACTCAAGCATTTAATATTGTATGGTTTAATCACAAATTTTCACTTGAGCCAAATTTATAAGCTTAAACAATCAAGCATTTAGTGTGTATGTGGAAATCAGGCTTCATTAAATAAAAATGTCAGATAAGTATGGAAAAGATTCCTGGTTCCTTCTTAAACACTAGGTTGGTGAGGCTCCATACCACAAATGAAATCAAGTAAATAAAAACATTAATTACAAATCAATTCTTTTTTTTACTGACCAATCCAGTTCTTGTAAAATTTGCGATGTTACATGGTAAAAACATGTTTTGCAATTCAGGATGAATCTGAAGTTTTTGTGTGTGTCTGAGGGGAGGGTAAGTCGGCATTTGTTACACATTGATTATAATCTTTAAATCAATGGACTTATTGTTCAAACTTGTCAATTTGATTGTTCAGTAGCCAAAATCTACTTACAATCAAAGACCTGAGGTATTGAAAGGTCATCATTTTTTCAAATAAGAAAAAATAAGTATGCCATTTTATTCATGTGTATAAGTTATTTAAAGGTCAATGAACACTGGATGACGGTAAATTAAAAACTACACATGATAGATGGCTATTAGCTGAATTTTGATCTGAAACTTTCACTGTATAATGTTTGATTATTGCGATTAATATTCACTAATAAATTAAATGTGTCCACAAGGAAGAAGATAATGTTGAAAAGTAAATATTTGTTATTGGAAATAAATTGTTTTTTTCTTTATTATATTTTGGTTGTATTGATTTAACTACATAGGTAGTAAACCATAAACTTTATTGCTTTCATTATTTGTTTACCTGATAAATTTGATCATATGGAAATCTGATACTGTGTGAAATTATCTGATAACAGGTACCAAGTAATTATTAAAATACAAGACAGATTGGTTATGATAAGAGAGGTCATGATCTTAACTTATCAAGATTATAAGATATATAAAATTGAGAATTTGTAAAACTGAAACTTTGATGTAGAAACTCAAAACAAAATCACAAATAGGAATACTGATTTGGCTATTTCAAACATTTTTATAAGAACAATATTCCATTCTATGAAAATAATAATTTTCCTATTTTAGTCTATTCTATAATAATCTTTTTTTCACTCTATTTTATATATATATATATATATATATATATATATATATATAATAATCATCATAAGTTCTATGTGAACAGTTTCTTCTCTCAAACTTCCCACTTGTGGAACTCTCTCTCTCGGCTTCATAATTTCCAATCAACTTTAATCTTCAAAAATTTAAATGCAATGTCAATCATCATATTTTGTCTCCTTAATTCCTGTTTATTTTTTTTATTGGCCTCTGGCCTTAATAATGTTTTTTTTTTTTCTGAGATTTTTCTTGCATCTTAGTGTCTTTATTGCCTTGCTTGGGGTGAAATGATTAAAAAAAATAAAAATAGCAGCCATCTCAGTCAAGGTCAGTTGCTATTAATTTCACTGTTTAAGAAAATAAAAAAAAACCAATTCAAATAAGTGTACCCCCTTAAAATAATGTTTATAGTATTTATATATATATATATATGTAGAGAGCAAATTGTTGATAGTTATTTAATCTTTGAAAAATAATATCCTAATTAAATGCGTAGTATGCATATTCAATACAATGTGCTTTTATTTTATTTCTTATCTGATACAAAAAAGCAAATTTTTTAGAAGCTTGTTAAAATTGGCTTTAGAAATGCAAGTTGTATTAAATTGAACTGAATTTAATGCAGGACTTATATATACATATGAGAATGCACACACAACTTTGAAATAGATACTTTTTGTAAACCTTGTCTTTTCTTCTATTGCTTTTATTGTTGCTCTCATTTTGCGACTTTGTCAAAATGACCAACTTACAAAACGAAGCGTAAATGTACATTTGCTTTCCTAATTTTATAATAAACGTTTTTGCTTGAATGATAATCTTAAACAAAACACCATGTAATTTCTTTTACTTTGCTCTATTTTGTATGTAGAAACCAACACCACCAACACTGACCGTCCAAGCGGTATGCATGGACAAGACCGGTCATTTGATGTTGGCATTGGCCCCCGGCGTGGTGCGATAAAACAGCAGAAAGTACATGAAGTAAATGGTCATGAATTCATTGCTAAGTTTTTCCGACAACCAACATACTGTTCCTTCTGCAGTGAGTTCCTCTGGTAAGTAACTTACACTGGCCATTATCTAATTTTCTCATGTATTTTGTTTTACTAGGCACTTGTAACCAACTGTCATGTGCGGTTAGCATGGCAGTTACTGTGCAAGAAGTGGAAAAAAATCAGTCAACTAGAGAAAGGCTACTCAGATTTCAAAACCATGGAGAATGCATGGCTATTCACAGATAATAAAGAAATTTATGGAAAGCCATAATCTCTTATATGTCATAGTAGCATGACATTAAAAGAAAAAAAAAAAAAACTGTCAAGAGTCTGATTTTCCCCAAATCCCAAATGACTTCTAAATGCAAGGTCTTATTGAGGGAATTTTAATTTCTGTGATGTTGTTCTCAAATATAGGAAAGTCAAATTTAGATTTGAAGAACAGAAACCTCTTGACCAATGCATGTGCATTGCACACACACATCAGTCATAGCTTGAGCAGGGGTGATGAAACACGGTGCATCGAAAATGCTTGTACAATGGTGTCTGCTTTATAAATTTAAGGTGGACTTGTCCACATCTGCATCAAGTCACCGAATGCCTCAAGCTTTTGGGGATAATGCTATGTGAATGCATCATCAGGCACTGGTTATAGAAGTTCAGGTCAGGAGTTATGTCTGTGATAAATCTCGCAGTGGCTGGCTACAGGTCCTGGATGATGAGGTCCTGCAAGCAGCCATAGAGGAGGACAACAGCCAAACCTGTGGTGAGTTTGCTGGACACTTTTAGGTTTCTGATGCAGTTGCACTGCATAGGAAAGGCATACAAGTTGAGCAAGTGGGTATTCCACACACGCATCAACAAGCAACAATGAGTAAGAGCTTGTTTCTCATTACTTTCTTGGCACCACAATGTACCTATATTCGACTGAGTGCTTACAGGTTACAAAAGTGGGTCCTATATGATACTTCCAAGCATGCCAGACATTGGTTGTTACCATAAGACCCTGTGCCTAACACCACAAGACTACCTCTTGAATCACACAAGATTATGCTTTCTATCTGGTGGATTAGTTGACAAGTGATGCACTATAAGTAGAACCATCACTGTGAGCCTGTACTTGCAGCAGTTGAAATGTGTGTAATCAGCACTGAAGCAGGAGGAGCCAGCATTGGTTAATCACAAGGATGTACTGTTTCTCCATGACGATGCCAAGCCTTATGTGGTGCACGCGACCAGGGATACCATATGGCGACTTGGCTGGGAGACGCTGTGCCATCCACCTTACTTCCCCAGACCTTGCACCAACAGATTAACACCTCTTCCATTCCCTGGGCAACCACCTTCATGTGAAATCCTTTGCAAATGAGGCAAACTTATAATAGGCTCTGACAGACTTCTTTGTGTCCAAGACACTTGATTTTTACTGCCAGGGCATTGTGCAGTTGGAGTGACATTGGCAAAGCTTCTGGATACCAATGGGATTATTTTGAGGACTAACAGCAAGTCAAATTTGCTGTACACCTTTTTTTCTCTAATAAATCAAAAATGGCAAGGACTTTTTGCTTATCTTGTATTTTGTTAATAATTGAGAATTTAATTTTATTGAAAATGACAGGATGATGGAAAATCTATTTGGTGAGTGAAATTTAGTCAAGTTTTTCCATGCATAGACAATTTCTTTTGGTATTTTAATATATTTATGCCTTCAGATACTGTCAATGAAAAGTCTTTCATTTGTTTATTTTATGTTAGTATTTATAAAAAAGGTGGAGTGAGTCAAATCTTACATCTTTTTATCAAATTAAATCTATAAAAAAAAAATCTGCCCAGTACAGCCGCCTCTCTTCCAGTCACTTGATTGTCTTCCGGCTACTGAAACATTTTTTTATTAGCATTGCTTAAAATAGAGGAAGGAATTCTTCCATTAGCATTTCAACTGATAAGGAAATAGTTCTTGCCTATTCTACTTAAAAATGGTGGGTAGGCATTGTAAAAGATGCAAACAGTTGATTCTTCTGTTTTTCTATGAATGTAATGAATTGAGTGATCTCCCTTGACAAGTACTACTTGACCACTGCTGATTTAGAGTGAGCTTACCACCTCTATATGACTGTGTATGCATTCGCCATCATCATTTGTATGGGCAGATTTCTGCCTAAATTGGTGTAATGCATATCTGTTGCCAATGTAAATATATATATATATATATACACATACAAATGCATTCAGTTGAAACTGGAATTGGTGAGCCAATTCCAACCTAGTTCAATTTTGCACTTGAGAAAAAGCATGAATCTCTCCCAACTATGAGTAAAACAAAAAGGCATAATGGGCTTCCTAGCCTTGAATGGCAGCCAGTCTAGGAGAAGTACAACTCTGAATTCAAAACTAAAGAAAGCAATTGGGAAACCAATATATTCCCTTAAGAATTATGGAAATTTAACAGATATTAATGAAAGGATATATATATATATATATATATATATATATATGCGCAAGTGTTTTCATTAAATTCTTGACTTGTGTAGGTATGAGATAGAATTAATTCTTTTATCTGTTACATTGATTGTTTGATTTGTTTTTTTATGGCTTATCAACCTTTTGCAGGTTATTTAAAACCAGAAAATATTTTTATATTGTAAGAAATTTGGGGAAGATAATAATGATTTACTGATATGAGTTCTACTAATTAACCCATAGCTGGGAGGAAAAGAGGTGAATTCATACCTTTCCCAAGTGTATTTGCCTGTAAATGAATATGACAAATACAACTTGAATATAAATTTGGTTCTTCTATTCCCAATTCCAAGCTGTTATCCATTACACCATATGCAAATCCAGGCTTACAGTAAATCACTCATCTAGTTACTGACCAGGCATGACATTGCTTAACTTTAGTGATCATACAAGTACGATAGTTTTAACGTAATAAGGCCATGCATGGTTAAAAATTTTGAAGGACCATAATACTCATAGAAAATCAGCTGCAGCCCAGAAGAGTAAATTTTTTAGAGCAAATTATCAAGTGAAAAAAAAAAAATAGTACAAATGTACTATTGCCTACCCAAAAAGATAAGCCTTAAGCAAAAACAATTATTTTTAGTCATGGTTAAGAAAGTTTTTATTTTTTTTTATTTTTTATTTTTATAAAGAAAAAGAAGCAAACATGGACCTTCATACCTACAAAAAAAAAACGAACCATCAAAAGGATAGTTATTCTCATTGTACTGTTTTTATTTTAACTACTTTCGTTCTTCAGCAATGTTTATTGTTTTAAAAAGCAATGATTAGAATTGTAATAAAAACTAAACATATTATACATTTTCTTTGTTCTTGAGAATGACAGAAAAATAATAAACACTATTTATTAGATTGTTTATTTGCACTATTTATTGCTTTTTGGAATGGTTAGTAAAACATTGGCTAATTGCCAATTGATTCAATTTTTATAAAATGCTGAATGTTTTCATATTTATTTCTTTATAAATTGGTAAATGATAAATATTGCATTAGTTTTAACTGTATTAGTTTTTAGAATGTTGTAAATAAAAAATTATTCTTGTAAATAATCTAATAAATAGTGTTTAATATTTTTGTTGTAAATTCTCAAGAACAAAAAAGAAATGTATAAATTCACTTTCATCATATGTTTCTTTTGCCTAAAGTACCCTTTTATGATAGCAGTGGACCAATTGTTGGTTTTTATGAGGTGTCTTATACCATTTCAACTTTCTCTTGATGAATATTGAGTATTGTGTAGGTATAAATTCATTTCTTCTACCTTCCTCAGCTATTGGTTGAAGAGCAAAACAGTGTTCTCTAGCCTTTTTTTGTTTGATGGTGTTTTGCACCATCACTTGAGATATAGTCTCTGTAGATATCTAGGTTGGTTCTATAGCATCTTGGTTCTAATGCTTGTGTTTGCTGTAATTCTACTATCAATGTCTAAGACTCACAGGTGTGCAGAAAGATTGAGAAGGCCAATGCACGTAGCAGTCTATTCTTTGATTTCATTTACCATAATTCCCCATGTATAATACACATTTTTTTTCTAAAAAATAATAAGCAAAATGCGTATCATTATGCACAGCTCCAAAATATCTTTAAAAAATTGCCATTTCAATTGCGAAATGACTACTCACCACAAACATACAACAATTTGACACTAATATTCGGTGATTGCAACCCAATAAGGATGTCAAATACAATCATATGCACCTAACAATACTTACAAATGTAAAATAAAATAAAAATTATCATAAAACTAAATTAGAATAATATTATTTATGTTTGAAACCATTTTTTGTGAAAAACTTATGGCTATATGACGAACTATGGGTACTGCCATGTTGCTTCTGCGTGAAATGCTCTCATTGTTCGAGACTACTGGAATAAGAAAGTTTATTTTGGTGGAAAAGGATATCGGTAAAATGTATGTGTATAAGCTAAACAACCAGCAGTTCGCAACATTCTTTCATGAAGAACGAACCTTATTCTTACCTACTCTTATTCTTGCTCTACAACACCCCTGGTTAAAAATGAATTCAAGAAGAACAAGTTACCCTAGTGAATTCAAGAGAAAAGTTATTGCTATGGCAGAACAAGTGGGAAATTGTGCAGCAGGAAGAAAGTGCAATATAAATGAAGCAAATATAAGATTATGAAGAAAAGACAAGGAAAAAATTATGGCTGCAAAACCTTCTTCAAGAGTCCCCAGCAGAGAAAAAGAGGTCAAGTATTCTCAAATGGAAAAAGAAGTGGTAGAGGAAATTGCAGAAATGCGGGCTGCTGGACTTACCATCAACACTATAGACAATAAGGTTATTGGCCCTGAGAAAGATGAAAAAATACACTGAGTAAACTTTCAAAGCCTCTCCAAATTGTTGCTACATGTTCATGAAGAGGAACAACCTGTCCATCTGAAGAAGAACGTCAATTGCATAGAAATTGCTTCATGATCAAGACCAATAAATTTTATTGAATTGATTTCTTTGTTCCTTTAGTCATTTTATTCTTTGTTAAATATTTCTCAGACCAAATCTTATTCTGTCTACTTTTTAAGCACAACTCGAGTTATATCTAACTCGAAATACATACATATCGAGTAGATTGCACATTTTATCAAACAAAAAACAGGTTAAAGAGTCTGCACAGTAGGTACAATATAGGTATTTCCGTTTCCTGTTACAATCATGATGATCAGAAATTTTGACAAATATCTTCAATTACAGCTTGTTTAAGAATAGGTAATGCTGGCCATAATGAAATTGGATCAGTACAATTTATAGTTACCAAACAAGGAGTGCATATTATGTGTGAGTAGAAGCATTTTCCCACACTTTCAGCACAATTTTAGTGGTGTATATTATGGATGAAGGCATATTATACATGGGGAATTACAGTAAATGTTCAAGGTTTTCCAGATGGTTCTTAGTTTTGCAACAGTTGCTGTTGTTTCTGGTGCACTTGAAATCATTTCTATCCTTAAGTTGTCTTCAAGCCAAGATATTTGAAATGGATTACTACTTCAAATTCCTGATCACCAACTTTTGTCTTGAGTTTGACTTTTTTTGGTATTAATCTTCATAACACATCTTTAAGAAAAATGCTGCCACATTTCATTTTAATCTCATTTCTAAATATCTTAAATCTTTTTTTTCCTATAAGTTAGCTGCTGATAGATTTTTTGGCAGTATTAAGCTATGGAAGTTACATATGAAACTTTATTTCCTTTATTTCACTAACCATTACCAAAGAAATTTTTTTTTTTTTTTTAGCTCTAAAAATTTATCAAGTGATGATCCGATCAAGAGTAACTTTGTTTCAATTCATAGCTTAATTTATTAACAAATATTTTATGCCCATATACCACTTTATCTTTTTTAACCACTTATTACCAGTTCATTGTTGAGTATTGTGTAGGTATAAATTAATTTCTTCTACCTTCCTCAGCTATTGGTCAAATAGCAAAACAGTGTTCTCTAGCCTTGGTTAGCAACCAATCTTTAAGAAGGACTGAATTCAAAACATGTTAGGTGTGGATCTTTTTTTAATTGAGTTCACACCATGCAAGACAGTAAAACCACTGAAACCCATTTTTTGTTTGAAGATCATAGGTGGCAAGAGGTCAAGAAGCCAGAAGAGGGTTCCACAGGTGAAAAGTGTGAGAAAATAAGCTATTAAAATAGAAGTTAGGGTTACGTCTAGCAACTGCCACAATAAAATGATGAGATCTAGCTGTCAGTCTAGTAGTCTGCTTAAATTCATGCAGTCGAAGTACCAAGGAGGAAAGTTCATCAGAACAATTACCATGAGAGTATTTATAGAAGAGGCACAAGGAAGCCATATCATGGCAATGGGGAAAGTTACTGAAGTTAAGATGCCAGGTCAGAACCAGTAACATTACAGACCCGTCTTTGGATTTTGTCAATGATTTTGTAATATCTAGCAGAGGTACCAGACCAGATATGGCAGCAATATTCAATGCAAGAATGAATGGTAGATTTATCAAAAAGCAAAATGGATTCTGTCAAGGAAAATTGTCTGGCATGACACAGTGAAGCAACTTTCTTAGCAACAGACTTAGCAAAGTGATTCACTGTAATGATTCCACTTCATGTCAGTGAAAAAGGTAAGACCAAAAAGGTGCAATGAGTTGTTCTTCTAAAGAATGACTAAAAGATAGCAGTTTCATTTTGGAGGTGTTAAAATTTACAAGCCATTTCCTGCCTCAGTAGAGACTTCAGAAGTTTGCAAATTTTCCCCACTTAATATTTGACCAATCCTATCTTAATTCAAATAAATAGATTATGACATCAGACTGTTAAATAGATGAATATATCAAGCCTTGTTGCACAATGATTGATATGTAAGTAAAGGATCGAAGTCATGATGGCATAAATTGTTGACAGTTGGTCAGAATTGAAATATCTTTTATCATAACCACCACTCCTTGTTTGAAGGAATAACTAATGCAAAGCATAGCTATTAAGTTTGTCCTGTATACAAAGCTATACTTAAACTTAATGAGTAATGACTGTTTTAATTAAAGAAAAAATCTTTTTGTTCTTCATCAACTTGTGTTTGTCTCTCTCTCTCTCCTGTAGTATCTACTCAAATATGAGCATCTTCTAAATAATGTTTGAAGTATTGAAAATATGTCAGATTAAAAAATAAAGTTCATTAATTCTTTAGAAATTACTTTGATGTTTTGGATATAAAAATGAGCAGATATACATTTTGGGGGAAATATGAGAGTACGCTTTAAAGGCAAAATAGAACCTTGTTTTATTGTAAATCTTTTTGTAGCTGAGTGGTAAAAGCATTATGGATCAAATGGTGGTTCTTCCTGCAAAGGGAGATACAGGTTCAAATCTTACTGGAAGACACATTTTCTTTAATACGTTTTCTCAAATATGGAGGCTGGTAAACAAAATAATTACTGTTAAAAAAAAAAAAAAATTATTTCTGTATGCTAAATGTAAACAGAGTAATTTTTAAGTAATTAATGGATTTAATACAAGTTTTAACCCTGGAAAATTTCATAGTTTTCCTATTTGAATTTTCTGGTGAATCTTAATTCGTAAGCTCATGGTGAGGTCTATGACAATAAAATATCCATAGAAATTCCTTGGTTGCATCATTAAATATTTGAGTTTAAAAACTTTCACAAAATATTACAATAACAATAAAAAAAATATGAATGTTGGTCATCATTTTAAGAAGCACGGGGGTACAAATGAAAAGATTTGAAATTGACAACTTTTTCTATTTCACTGAAACAGCCGTTAAACATGTCTTTCTTTCTTTCTTTCATTTTCTCACTGAAACCAAGTAGTGTCTTTTCCCTTCTTTCCACATGATCAAAACAGGATGGTCTACTATTTATGAGATATTTGCAGGACATAATGGTCATACAAACTAACAAAAGAAGAGTCAAGCACAATTATAATAGGATATTAATTCTTATTACAATAAATATTATATTTAGTGGGTACTCACTAAATGTTTGTATTGATGAGAACTAATGTCTGGTTAAAATAGCTATTAATTAAGTATAATTTTGAAACTGTTTAGTTTTATTTTTACTTAGCATGGATCCAAAAATTGTATGAAAAAAAAAAACAATGGTAGCTTTTCAAATCTTAATTTTTTTTTTTTTTAACTTTTTAAAGATTTTATCTTTGATTTACTCAGTTTTCATTTTCTTTTCATATAATTTTTTGTGTTTCTGAATAAAAAAAATCTGGTAATATTCAATATTCTGTTTTATACTCTTTTATAGGGGTTTGAAAAAACAAGGATACAAGTGCAAAGGTATGTATTTACATTATTGATCATTCCTGATGTTAGCTTAAAATCTTATTTTTTATTATGTGAGCAGTTTATAATTTCTCTTATTTAGGAAAGTGTGTTATTTTATCTTTTAAATTTTGTGATTTTTAATTTTACTTTATTATGAATTATTAATAAATCTTAATTGTTCTTTTCTTTGAATAATTAGAACTATATTCTTACAAATTTTCAGTTTGTAACTGTGCAGTTCACAAGAAATGCCATGACAAAATCCTGGGACGATGTCCACGAAGTGCAGTCAACAGCCGAGAAACAAAGGTAAACGACTATATTAAAATATCAAATTATGAATTGTGTGATTTGAGCATTTATTTGAAACAAAGAAAGATATGACTGTTGGTCAAAAATGAATGCCCATTTTTAATTTAATTTTTAAATTATTAGAATTCTTAGAGTTAATCCATTATAAAAAAGCTGTTTTTGGAAGTGCTGCAAATATCCACAGGAGGTTAGTAAATGTTTATATAACGACTGCACTTGATACAAGCAAAATAAAGAGATGGTCAGTAGAATTAATGATAATATTTCCAAGAAAGTTACTGGCATTATTATCAGACTCTGCAATGGTAGGTCAACTGTGTATGAGGATAAGGTCAAACAGCCTGATGCTTTAGTTTCAGATAATAGAATTACTGGTACAAAATTTTGTAAAAGCCTTCAGATAAGTCATGGTAGTGCCTGCACTTTAGTACAGTCTCTTGTCATAGTTCTTATGAAGGAGCAGTAAGTAGTTTCTGTTTGCTGCCTAAAAGCTTTTGGAGCTGTACAACACTGATAGCACCTTCCTAAGTAGGATAGAGATGAGACATGGGTTCTCCACTATGTGCCAGAGAGCAAAAGAGTCAATGGAGTGGCACTGCTCTGGATTAACCAGAAAAATTTCAAAACAGCATTCTATGCAGAGAAACTGTGTTGGAACCAGAAGTTCATGTTGTTTGTTTATGCACCCAGTGACCTTACTATCAATTTTGACTTCTACTTGAATGCATTCTCAAAACTTCAAGAAAGGCTTCTTCAGTCTCGACCTCATTATTGATAAGCTTTTACAGTATCACAATGCCAGGCTTTACAACAGCTTAAAGACCAGACAAGCAATGGCTAAACAACCTTGCTTCATCCTGTCAGTCTTTCTCTTGTTTAGCTCCATAAAGGAAACACTATAAAATAGGTGGGATTACTTTCAGAACAAAACTTGTAATATAAATTATCCTATGACTCTAGCAGGTTTCTGAGATGCTATGCTTTACTAGATTACCAAGTTCTGACATCTTGTTATTCTATTTCACCAGGCAAAAGAATATACTTGGTATCATGTGACAGGTTGTATTGGTTACATGGCATCAGTAACAGGGTAGTATCTGTGACCTGGCTTAAAACTGAATACCAAAGATAGAATAACACCTGTACATGAGCTATTTTCCAAAGCTGATCTAACAATAGCTGAAAAATATAATTAACTTTGATGTGTCCTAAATTCTAAAATCCATTCTCCAATGATGATCAGGTGAAAGGGGAAACTTGCACATGGCTAAGAAAGCAGTCAAGATGCTTCTTCGAGATAAGTATAGCCACCTTCATTGCAAAGAGGAATACCATGATTGAGAAAGAAGGAAAATATGTGGAAGACTAGCTTTGGAACCCTGAGACCTTTGTGTTCATTTTGCTCTGCTTCTAGTATTAATTTTATTGGAATTAAAGAACAAGAATCATCATTTTTTTTTTTTTTTTTTTTTTTTACACTTTATGGAATACAACGCTTTTATTATAGCAGTAACCAAGGGAGAGAACTGAACTTGAATTTTGTCCAACAATCATTCTGTCCTTTTTTACAATTGTTTGTTTGCTATTTTTTGTTTATTTAACATTAATATTTACAGATTTGTATTCTGTGTGAGAAGTGTTGAATTTGTTCTGTGATGTCTGTATACTATGCCAGGGTAAAATAGATGTCATGATTAGTAAAATGGAACAATTTTCAAATTGTTATCTGTTGATGTCATGAAGGTGTATATGACTACAGATTGTCTATCCAAGATAGTATAATACCTGTGCATGAACTATTTTTCAAAGATACTCTAATAATAGTTGAGAAATATACTTAAGTGTCCTAAATTCTAAAATCCATTCTCCAATGATGAGGTGAAAGAGGCAACTTGCACATGAATTTTTGTTTTGTGTGCTACAACTATTAGATTTGTTCTGATTAAAGAATAGCTATTACTTTTTGACTTGGAAGCAGAAAAAGACAGTTGAAATTCTTTTGACACATAATGAGGAAGGAGGGCTTGGAAAACTTAACCCCCACACAACATACTGAGGGCAAGAGTGGTAGGGAAAGGCAGCCAACCTGATAATGAATGGCAGAAAACTGCTAATGATCACAAGGGATGGAAAGTTGTGGAGAGCCACAATTGCTTATGTCCTGAAGGGACATGGCACATAGAAGATACAGTATTAAAAAAAAATACTTTTATTTTGCTGTTTCTGCAACTTAAAGTTACATGTGCCCACATGTTTTTTTTTTTTTTTTTTTCCCGGGTGGTCTCACATTCATCAGGCAGTGGAAAAGGACAGGAAACTTGATTAGGAGGAGCCCTTGTGTTGCTTATACTATATACTGGGGTGAAATAGATTCTGCCATGGATGATAAAATGGAACAATTCACAAATTATTGTTTTCTGTTGGTGTCACAAAGGTGTATATGTGTGGAGAAAGTGAGAATGGCATGCTGAGTCTCTTGCATTCACTTTTACACAATTCCCCCTCCCCCCAAGCCCCTTCCAGTTATGAGTTTATACTTAATCCTATAATACATAAGAGTAGACTAGGTTTTCTAGCCTTGGTTGAAAACCAATCTAGGTGAGGGCCAACCCTGAATTCAAAACTGACTGGACATAGGACAGCTAACTCTGTCCTGTAAAAACCTACTTTCTACATAAACCACAGAAGCAACACCCTATTATATAGGGGTGTAATGGTACTAAGAAGGTGACAACTCTGTAAAAAAAAAACTACTTTCTACAGAACGGCAACATCTAGTGTGATGTGGCTTTGACCCAATTCTTCACAAATTCTAATGGTACTGAATAATATCACACTTTAAAGAAATGTGTCTATCTTGGGGGGTTATTCTGTAATATGTTTGTTAAAATTACATCAAAATTCAGGTATAGAAATGACAAAATTGTCTTATTGCTACTTTTGTAAAAAAAAAATGATTAAAATTATTTTAAAATGAAAATGAAATATATTTTTGTTTTTGTATTTTAAATAATAATTTTAATATTTTTGATGTTTGCCCACACCATCTTCAGTCATTAGAAATTTGGAAATATTTAACAGTGTTAAAATTATTTTTGAAAATATTTTCAAATCTGAATATTTATTGGATTACTTTTTTTTTGTTACATTTTGTGATACATTTTTTCAATTAAACTTTTTTTTAAAAAGAACAAAAGTCACTTCCTATAATGTGAGTAAACATCAAAATATTAAAATTTCCTGCTGCAATTTGAATAGAGGAAATTACATTCCTTTCATTTTTAGAGATCAGTAGTATATAATTAATTTATAGATTATTTTGACAGTTATTAGCAAGGAAAATGACACTTGCAAGCAGAGTTCAAATTCAAGCTTAGTCAGTCTGTTACATTTCCTTTGCACTAATGCCATTGGAAAAGGCATTTTTCCAGCTCTTCTCTCCTCAGCTATAGAGTACAATTCTAGCCTTGGATAGCAGCCAGTTTAAAAATGTAAACTAATTCCCAAAGTATAAGTTAAAATATATTGAAAGAATGTAAATTAAATATTTGTTAGACTGGGAAGCTAAGGAATATGGTACAGCTAATAATAGTATATATCCTAGTATATTTAATCATATAATAGCATATATTATCAAAGTATACTTTATCCTATAATATTCAATTTCCTATTGATAATATTTACCAGTATTTTCTTTGTCAAATCAACCACACCACATGAAGATATAAAAAGTTATCTGTATTGTTATATTAAGTGTATGGTGGCAGAACAAGAAAAAAACGACAGATTTAAGGAATAAATAATTGTATTAACAAAAACTACAAGAATAGTGAAATGGTGTGAATGTCTTTTTGTTGAAAGAAATAGATAAGTAAAGCCTTCCATAGAGGCGTATGGTAGGAGAGCGAGGGTGAGACAGGACTTACTGCAAGTGACTGCCTCTGGTGAGTTGTCTTTGGAGATGGGAGACTAGTTGTCTCTGGGTGTGGAGGTGGCATTCCGAGAGTGTGTGAACCCTGGCTGTTGTGCTGACCAACTGACCAAGATGTCTCTTTGATGGGCTTTTATGTCCTTTACCTAGGCTCAGATCGGCTCCAACTTTTATTTTGTTTCTTTAGGTGAGAGCGGGTGTTATTTGGTAAAAAATTTGGATTGTATTTTTTGGGGGGGTGTGAGGAAAGTCGAAGGTATGTGTGGAGCTGATGCGCACTTGACTGAATTTTTAGTTCAGTCTTGGGTTTTGGAGTGTTATATATGGCCAGTGGTGGAAATTTGTGTAACATGAATCAGAAGAATATCTAGTTTTAGGAAGATTATAACAGTATTTAACTGTATAAATTATTCCTACAAAAGAAAAAATAAACAGTCAAAACAGTTAAAAGTAAAGTTTAATATTAATATTTTAATACAGAGTATTAAATACTAGTGCCACAAATGAATTTTTTATGAATGTGCAGATAATGTGACTATTAGCATGAGGGTAAGTGGAATTGGTAAACCAAGTTTAAATTCTGTCCTAGTTTACTGCATTGATTTTCACACTAAAATCCTTGAGAAAAGCATTCATTCATTTCTTCTTCACTCAGCTATAGGTTAACTTGTAGGTTAGTATGGATGACTGCCAGTCTAGGAGAAGGAAAACTCTGAATTCAGAATGGTGGAGATGTACTTTCTTTCCCAAGACATCATGGCAATTCAAAGATGATAAAGAACAGAATCTCTAGAGTGTCATAATTGCCAATATCCTAAAGAGAAAAAAAATATTGACATCTGCAGAGACAAAGCATTTTGGGAATTGGACCATTGCTTAGACTGCCAGAGTTGGGATTTGTTGTGAATGACAATTATCAATTACATAATGTTCTGAAAACATGTTATATGTAACTGACAATATCTACATATATTCTATATCTTCAATTTGTTGACTGGAGTGGGGGGGAATTAAAAGAAAACTTTTATTCTCAATTGATATTTTTCTGTTTGTTGCAGATGCTTACAGAAAGATTCAAAATCGATGTTCCCCATCAGTTCAAAGATAACAACTATATGACCCCGACGTTTTGTGACCATTGTGGCTCCTTACTCTACGGCCTTTTGCGTCAAGGCCTGAAATGCCAATGTAAGTAAAAATAAGGATTCTTGGTTTTTTTTTTCCCTTATCTTTTTTGTATTAATTAGCATCAAATCTAATATCTTAATTGTCTAATTTATTCAGTATTTTCTACTTGTTTTTTAATGTTCTTAGTTACACAATGAAAATGATTATCAATCAAATTAATCTTTATTTTTGTAAAGTAACCAGAACAAAATCTATTTTGACCAAATGCAATATGATAATCCTTACTAATGTGTAAGCTGATGTCAGATCAACTGTTGCAAGATAGAAACTATGATCTAGAATTGGAATGAAAACAGTGATAGAACATAGCCTGATCCATCATAAAAATTCAGGTTGTAAAATTACTAAATTCTAAAAATTTCAAATACCTTGCTGTATAGATAAGTTATAAATGTACTATAGGAGAAAAGAAAATTGGATATAGGACAGGTTGTGCTAAGGGTATTTTTATCCCACACTGTCAGATGCTACATAAGCAAAACATTAACCAAAGAACTTGAGTCCTGTTATAAATAGCCAGATGAGGACAATAGTCCGAATAATGTACATAATACCTCATCTCAGAAATATAGACAGATTATTTTTTTATTTTAAGAAAGGTAAAAATGCAACTCGCATAAAAAATTTAATGCCATTTATGTTATTTAGAAGGTACTGTGAATGATCAAAGATGTCAAAAATGGTTTTTAATGTTTTGTACTTGAAATTTCTTGCTGGACCATGCTACATGGTCAGGTAATTGGTTGTTTAAATTTTAAATAGATTTGGGTAAAGTTACTACAATTTGTTTGTGTATTGTTGGTAATTTTTTTATATAAAAATGTATTGCTGGTATTTCTACTATGAAAATGTATTTTTATACTTTAATAGTGCTTTGTTTTTGTGCGTGGGGGTTTACTATTTGCCCATAGTTGACACCTTAACAGGTGCTACCTGGCAACAACAGCAATTAAGACATGGTTTCATGCTCCTCAATACCTCCAATCTTGCAGCTGGATGGGTAGTTTGTCATACCCAGGATTAAATTTTTGAACCAATTTAATCTTTCTTATCGAACTGTAAAATGAAAGTTGTCTTGAACAGTCACTCTTTTTGCATTAATGTAGGTGTCCACTAGTGCTTTATCCTTGGACCTACATTGTTACTCATTTTAATTTTCATCAATGACCTTCCTGATGGCATCAGTTCTCAACTCGGTATCTATGCTGATTATACAACCATTCCTATCTTAATAGTAAGTCTGAACAGTTCAGTAAGACCAAATTGGCAGCTGATCTAAAAAAAATGACCTACTTTCTGATATTAACTGGGGCAAGGAATGTCTTGTTAATTTTTATAAGTTTAATATCTTTAAAATACCTCTTTTTAATCATTTGAGAAAACACTTTTTACCTTCCATCAGCATGGCTGATGCTAACCTCCAGAAAAGTAACTCATTGTGCTTTCTCAAACTAATGTTTTCTGCTGACATGAAGTGGAAAGATTATATTGAATCAGTTGTTAGGTCTGCTTCTAGGAAAGTTGGTTCACTGTGTTAGACAATTTTTTTTCTTGTCAGAATCCATCTTACATATTTATAAGTCTACCATTCGTCCTTGCTTTGAATATTGCTACCATGTCTGGTCTGGTCTGGTCTGGTGCTCCTGCCATATAATTAGAGATTCTTGATAATATCCAAAGAAAAATCTGCAATATTATTGGTCCTGATCTGGCATCTCAGCTTCAGTCACTTTCCCACTGCTGTAATTTAGCTTCCCTGTGCCTTTTCTATAAATATTTTCATGGTAATTGTTCTGATGAGCCTTTCTCTATGGTACCTAAACTTTATGAATGTAAGCACAGTACTAGATTAGCTGCAAGGGCTCATCATTTTGTAGTTGAAATGGCTAGATATAACTGTAAGTTCTATGCTAACAGTTTTTTCTATAGCACTTCTCACTTGTGGAACTCTCTTCTGGCTTCTTGCTTTCCAGTCAACTTTGATCTTCAAAAATTTGAATGCAATGTCAATCATTATCTTTTGTCTTAATTCTTTTTCTTTTATTTTTCTTTCATTTAAATAGTTTTTTTCTCATATTCTCTTACACTCAGTAACCCCTTGTATCTTAGTGACTTTATTGCCTTGTATGGAGTGAAATGATTAAAAGAAAAATTATCAGGGTTGCTATTATAGATATGTTTGGGATTTCTTAATTTTGTTGATCAAAAGAGGTGTTAGATCATTAATTAATAGTATATCTATGTTGTATTGATTATTATTTTTGTTTTTTCTTATTTGAATTATCTTTTGTTACTTTGTTTAGTCAGCTATTGGATGTCAACAATTGTCTGTAATCACTAAATGCTCTTCATAATGACAAGCTCCTGTGTTAATGACTTACAGGTTCCCATTTTTTTTTTTTAATCAATGGGAATATATATATATATATTTCCAATATGAACAATTCAGGATGTTTGGGTGAGTCATGATGATTACGATAGTTTTCGGAGTTATGCCTCTATTCATCTTTCCATAGGACCTGAGACTCAACACGGAGGCCTACATCAAGTGCCCTTAAGGAGAGAGTGCTGTCATGGGTCAAGAGGGTGGCTGCTGGAAGACCCTAATTTAGATGACAATTAATCCATTGCACTCTGTATAGTATATTTTAATAATATTAATACAGTAATCAAAATCCGCGACTCGGAGTTTCATACAGATTTACAATCTTGAGGCGGTTAAGATTTTCTTCTGACTTCTATCTTCACAAGATTATTAGGAAATTATTTATTTGAACTGCAACTCTTATTATTTGTGTTAGAATTTCACAATGTTTGGATTGGCAATTCACTGGTTATCATCTAGTGAACCTAATAGCTTAACCTGAGCAGCAAAACTTTCTGGCAATAGAAGAACTAATACCCAAAATATTTAGAAACATTGTTAGCCTCTCACCACTCTATTACTTATTGCAGAGGTTTGGATGAGTTATATTCCTCAGTTCCATCAGCTCAAACATTCACAGCTAGGACCTGCCATTGTATGTTCACAGTGGCAAATCACCTCCATTCTCTTTGTGTTCCTTTGATAAAAAGAACAAGTTTCACTCCAACAACTTCTTCCCCAAAATTTTTACTTTGCAGAAGAAACTTCCAAAAGGATGTTTCTCTGCTAACAACAGTTTTAGTCTCTTCAAGTCAAGAGTCAACCTATATCTATCCTACTTGTTCTTATAATGTGCCCCTCTTACCTCCTCCTTCCCTCTCCTTCCAATAATCTTGCACAGTAACCCATTTCCATGACTGGGCCTTGTGCTTTGTATTGGGTGAACCAAAAGTAGTAAAAAAGAAAATCTGTTCAAAGTGATAGATGGATGAGTTTTCTGGCTCCAAACACACCTTCTCTTCTTTAATTTGAACGAACTTGAACACCATTAACAACTTCCTTTCTTCTCAGTCAAGAATTGGATCATGTTGTTTTTCAATTGATTTCTTACAATCTCTCTGGATCAGCATCACCACGCCTGTCTACTATCGGCTTCACAACCGAGTAGTGGCGCCTGGCTCTTCATGTCCTCTTCATCTACCGGTATCCTTCTAGATGATGAGTGCACTCAAGTCGGAGTCAGGATCCATCTTCTAGTCAAATTATGTGAGCCTCACAGATGCAGATGTGGAGCCTCCATCGATGAGTTTGGTTTGCATCCTCTCTCCTGTCGTCGTAGTGCCGGCCGCTTTCCACGGCATGCAGCCATTAATGGCATCATCAAAAGAGGTTTGGATGCAGCTGGGTTCCCTTCCCAAATCGAACCTGTAGGCCTCAACCGTGGTGATGGAAAGTGGCTGGATGGTATTACAATTTTCCCTTTTAAAATGGGGTAGTCATTGATTTGGGATGTGACCTGTGTGGATACATTTTCAGCCAGTAATTTGATCAGGTCCACGGTTGAGCCGGGATCTGACGCCCGGGATGCAGAGATGAAAAAAAATAGTTAAATATTCTTCTCTTGCTGATAGATTATTTTTTTTACTCCTGTGTCAGTGGAGACTTCAGGGGTTATTGGCCCTCGTTCGATGATGTTCCCTCAGAGGATTGGCGCAATTGCATCTCAATTAAGAGATGAGCCTCGTGAAACAGAGTGGCTCTTGCAGCGTGTCTCACTGGTGATGGTTCGAGGTAATGCTTTCTCCATCATTGCGGCTGGCAGAGGATAGAAAAAAATTGTTTATAGTTACGTTGTTCTGGAGTTGTCATCAATGGTCAACTGAACTTGTTTTGTTTCAATAAATTTTGACTTCTTTTGTTTTAAAAAAAAAAAATCATTGGTATTTTACATTATAAAATAGGATCTATGTAGTGACTACTTTTTAAAAATTCAATACTGTTGCTTTTGTGATAAGATAAACTTACATTGTGTGGTTCAACACTAGTGGCTTCAACTATCACTAACAAATGCAGTATTCAGCTTTTAACTGAATACTGAAATTGATAGAATTAGTTGATCTATGTTATTGTAGCTGACTTTGTCACTTACACCCACCATTAATCACTGTATATCAAGTGAACATATCAGTCTATTGATGTTGCTTATCCATGCATCTGGAAACCTGCTGCTCACTCTAGATTTTTTGCCATTTAGTCTTGCTTCTCTAGACTACTAAGGTTTTATCTGGCTCCCATCTAATGATTTGTTTGGCTAGTTTGGACCTGCCAAATAATAAGCTTCTGTCAATATAGTTCTCCAGGTTATAGAAGTATACAATTTACTCTGCCATATGAAAATGGAGTGGATTATTATTAAATGAAATATCCATTTTCTCTTTTTTACTTTTTTGTCAAATTATGTTCACTGATAAAGGGTAGAAGATCTTTTGTGGTAATATTGATTGTTTTTAATTCATGATATGAAAATAACTTAAAACTTTAATAGTTTAAAAGATGCTTTTATAAATGCATCTATGTTGAAAACAAAATGAAACTGATTTTTAATGGAGGCTCAAAAGGAAATATCAAGACATTTTCTATTCATTTAAATATTAACTACACTACTGAAAAGGATTATTTAAAATATTTTTTCACTGAAGATGTCTGGTCATTATTGAACCTTCATTCATACCACAGGGTCTTTGGACACTGCACAGAATTTTTTTTTTTTATATTTAACAAGTGACAATTCAAATTTTCATCATTAGACAAGTAGCTTTCTGAATACCTCTGTCAAGTAACTACAATTAGTTTCTGGTTTTAGTCAAAATATTTGTGTGAATTACAAGCAGATTTTGTTTACTGAAAATAAACTGAAAACTATTTTGCATATTTTAAATTTTGATACTTTCAAGTTCATTGTTTTAATATTGTCTTTTTGATTTTTCAAAATAACCCTTTTTTTTTTTTTTTTTTTTTTAAATTTATCCTATAAAACCAGAAACATCACCCCAGATAATATATAACAAGAAAATTAAGAAGTAAATAATATATCTATAATATTTTTAATGGGTTGTTTAAAAATCTCAACAAATGCTGTGACAGTATGACATTGAGAGATTTTTTAAAAAAATAGTTAAGAGATATCCACAAACATTTTAAAATAAAAATAAAAATAAATCCAGTAACAACTCTAAAATAATGAAACAATTGATTCAACAAAAATTTAAATTTTCTTTAAGTGTGTCAACAATAAATCTATTACAATGAGAAAGGATATAGTCACAATAAGCTTACTGTCTAACTGTATAAGCAATATGGAAAATATGTAAGGAATCTTTGTCAGTAATTTGCAATTTGGCTTAAAGCTAATACCCTGAATACATGAAACTAGATGCAATATTTAGATAGGAAAATCATACCCTGCTAGTTTGAATGTCAGTTTAAAGAGTGAAGCTAATCTTATAGTTTTTGCTATCAATATTTATAGATGTGTTCACTTCAAAACTCATAAAATCATTTGACACCCATTTCAGTTGTTTTCTTGAGCTATATCCTTAAAAGCTTATCAATAAAACATTCTAATGGACACTGTATCTATTCACAAAAAAACAACTAAACTTGTGTAAATCACAAAATAAAAAATATCTTCCTCATTTGTTGATGTTTAATAACATTTAAGAAATTATTTATGTTGATGTTTAACTGCATTTACAAATATCAGAGAATTGAAAAGTATCTTCAAGAACTGTGGTATATAGCAATGGGGAGATTCAAATCCAAAAATGTCATAGGTCCAAGGTCATAATTCCAAGGGTAAAAAATTCACATCACACCTCACAACACATAACTACTTTTTCATCCAAGAAAATCCAAACAATCTTGTAGTTCAAAGTAGAGTACTTTTATGGTCAAAAAGTTTTGTGATTGGTCAAAATTGATAAGGCAAATTGACCTGCCATGCCATCTACACAAGGATGAATCCTCGCTCTCTTCATATTTAATTAGTAAGTTCCACTTAAACAGCTACTTCCCAAGAACTGCTACTTTGTGGAACAGGCTCCTGGCAAGATGTTTTCTTGATCACTACAATCTTGACCTCTTCAAGTCTAGAGTTAAACATTATCTTTCCTATGTAACCTAATGAACTGCACTTCTTGCTTTTTTTTTTTTTTTTACACTTATACAACACCACAAGGTAACCTTCTACCTTGAGCGGCTCTTGTGTTTTGTATTAGGTGAACATTAGTATAAAAAATAAATAATTTTCCTTTGAGAGGAGGTAAAGTTAATTGAAAAACACTGTAAAAAGAAAAAACTGATTTCAACCAAGTAGTTTTTTGGTGCATGCATAAAGTTGAGGCTTTTGTTTCCAACATTTTTTGCTGCTTGTTTATTTATGTAAAATCAATACATCATTATTCAGGTATCAAAGTATTTTTCCTTGGTTTTTGAATAGTTATAGTTTGTGAAGAACAAGTTTTAAAATCTATATAAGATTTGTTAAAATGAACAAATTAGATTAAAATTATAGCAGACACATTATTAGAACATATTCTATTAATTAATCAGTTACAGACAAAACAAAAACCCCTTTTTATTGAAAAGTATTAATAAGACACAATATCCCTTCCGAGTGGATACCAATTTAAAATTTAATTAACTTATAATTTACAGAGAAACATCAAAATTACACAGTATTTAAAACATATCAAAGTATCAAGCTTCAGCTTTCAAGCATGGATAGTTATTAAAAATTTTTACTTTTCAAGTAACACACATTCAAATAGAGCGAAACATTTTCTACTTGATATTTATGTGCATTTCTTGTCTACTATTAATGTCAGTGCAGCAGATATAAATAAAGGTCAACATATCAAGTAGTCAGTGAGAGTAGGAGTCTGTGTGATAGTACGAGTAGCAGACAGATGTACCAGTCTGAGTTAACATAGTAAGAGGAGTTATTAAGAAATCTGTTTCCTGTTGTATGGAAACTGTCTGCATAAAAACAAAATGGTTTAAAAAATAAACAATTTTTTTAAAACACTTCAACAACTTCTGGAATATGAAAATTTTGGATTTACACTTTACCTACTTTCTTTTCCTTTACTTTTTCTTTGTATATGACTGAAATGTGTCTTGTAACAACCACTTAATAACAGTTTTGATATCTTTTCCTGTGTTACTAAACTTATTTTGTTTTCTCTATGAACTTTTGAAATGCAACAAAAAAACAGTATTTTTAAGGAAAAATGACCTTTTAATGTTTTCTACTGCATGATGTATAGAGATAAAAATATATATATATATATATATCCACTAGAATAAAAATTCAATTTGTACTGGAGAGAACAATAAATGAATTGAAATGAAGCAATATAGTCATGTGTCAAGGATTAATATTTTTGACTATAGAACAGTTTCAAATTCTTCATTTTGTTTCCATGGATGTTTAACTTTGGCTGATCATTTTTTTTTTTTTGTTTTCATTAAATTTTTCTTCTGATTAATTCTGCTTTATTGAAAAACATTTTATCTAAATTCAATTGTTTTTTGCATTTTCTTTTCCTTTTGTTTCCTTCAGCATGTGGCATTAATGTCCACAAGAAATGTAAAAAGTATGTTTCCAACCTGTGTGGCATTAATCAAAAATTACTGGCAGAGGCATTACACAACGTCCGCAAGTCAGGAGCTCCCAAAAAACCGTCCTCGGGTAAAGGAAAACAAGAGGTAATTATTGTTATTACTTAAAATTTTTAAGTAATTACTACCTTTTTTATGATAATTTTAATCTCTTATGAACACAATTGAAGGAATCTTATTGAAATTCATATTTTAATTGAATGATATATTTAAGGATATATTTGATTTTTACATTTGTTTTCCCTTTTAATCTGTCTTAAATGTTTAATGAATATACTTTTATTCTTTCTATTGGGTCGTGTCATGAATAATTTACATTTTTTTTTTCATCAAATTTATTCTTCAAGAAATAAAGTACAATTACTTTTTATTCAATCATATACACAATTATTTGCAATGAATTGTTGCCACTTATCAGCTAGCACTTAAATACATTTTTCAGTAAAAGATTTGATGTGAAAGTTTTCTACAAACTCTTAAATTTGATTCTCATTAGACAGTTTTCCTCATTAAAACATTTTGCAACGATTGAAACAGGTAATTGCTTGGGAAAAAGTCAGGTGAATATAGTGGGTGGGGCTGAACACACCAACTGAGTCCCCAAAATCTTTCCTGCATTATTCTTGCTGCTTGTGGACTTGTTGTCTTGGAGGAAAACAATACTTTTCCTTTAATCCACTATTGTCACTGCCACTGCTGTGAAGAAATTAAGGTATATTAATGTACTCCAAATTTATTCTTATGACACAACCTAATAATTTTTATTTTATAACTGTATATTTGTAATTGATTTTAGTGTCCTATCTTTTGTCAATTGTTTGCACTTAAATCATAAGATGAAGAAAGTTTGTATTCACTACCTTCATCTCTATCAACATATTTTAAACAGTCCATTCACAGTTGGCCATCTTTATAGACAAACATGTGCAAATCTTTGGGATTTTGTTCTGCTTAAATGAGATTTATATGATTATAGAATGGACATTTAGTAAAAAAAAAAAATAGTCCCCACCAGCGCTTTCAAGACTGGTAGTGAGGTTGTTTGAAAAAAGAGAAGAGATAGCTCGGTTTTCTTCACTCTCCAAGACTTACATTAGATATCTGTGATATACTAACACCTTTAACACAATGGAAGGAAGGACTAGAATAACTCAAAGAAATTTAAAAAATTAGTTGTGTCTGAAAACATTTAATATACAATATTAAAAAATACATGTCATACAAAAATTCAATATAAATATATATGTCACGATTAATCCTATACAGATTAATTGAAAACATGAAAAAAAAAGCAAGCACTATATAAAGAGGTAAATAAATAAATAACTGATTCTTGCCTATTTGTCTTGTGAAAGGGGAGATAATCGCCTTTTGCATCCTTATGTTGGTATCTATTTTTCAACTAATACAAAAGAAGTCTTTCTGCTAAGAAGTACTTTGATACTTGTAAAATTAGGGATACATTGCTGGTCCAAATAAATGAAGGAAAAAGAAGCAGTTTTGTAATTACTCATTCTTTCTCTAATTATTAACTTTTTAATTTAATTATTTCTTTTTATGTACATATATTTGTTTTGACTAACAATTTAAATGCATCAGCAACAAAAAAAACAAACTTGAATATTGATATGTCAAAATCTTAGAAAAAAAAGAAAAATTATGCCTTCTTCTCTAATTGTATAACTGATACTTAAGTTGCATATTTATTTCTGTGGATAGGATTAAGCATAGCTTAGCATAGGGTACAATAGTGAAGCTTAAATTTACTACATTAACAATAATCTGTAAGGTAATGACCTTTTGCTATATGGCAATTGTCTCTTAATATGGGTATCCACTTAGTCTAATTTCCAGTGCCTTGGTACAGTTTAATGACTATTAAGTTAGTTTGGTTAGCTGTTACTTCTCAGTAGTGAGTTCAATTCTTGCTGGTTCCCTCATACTTGTGGCTCATCAGAACAATTACCATGAAAATATTTATAGAAAAGGTACAGGGAAGCTGTGTTATAGCAGTGAGAAAGTGACTGAAGCCAAGATGCCAGGTTAGGACCAATAACATTGCAGACTCTTTGGATTTTATCAAGAATCTCTAATTAAATAACCATATGATTTATACTTAGCTGCAATGGTGGAGATCCCAATGAAGGTTGCTTCTTGCTACAAGAATAATTCTCTGATTGTTTCATATCCTTTCAAGACCTGAGTAATCATGACTCTCCAAAACTTTTATCTTTTGTAATTCTTAGTAATGTTTGTCTTTTTACTTCTCCTCCCATTCTGTCTTCTCAGATATGATTGTGACTATATTTAGAATTTGTTCAAGCCATTCAAGCATAAACTATCTACAAAATTGAATAATCATTAATATTATTCTTTCTGTAGTTATTGTTTTGTTTTTTCTAAGCACTGACTCTGCTATTGTAATAGTAGTATAGAATTAACTTTATGGAATTAATTGATCAAAGACTGATTGATACTTAACAGAAAATTTGAAAAGTTCATTATTGAATGTAATTAAGACTTTTAATGAGCACCTAATTCATCTCTCGTGTATGTTGTCTTATGAATTATTTAGGAAGAGTTTGTTGGATTTAGAGAACAATTGTTGTTGGTTTGTGATATCACTTTATTAGACTGAATTAATGTTGGGCTTTTATCAATATTTTACAGAGCACTCCCAGCAAAGCAAATACTGCAGACGACTCTGATTCTGATGAGTATATGCACTGGGATGAAATGTCCTCGCCCTCTGCGAGAAAGTATAAATTGGGAGACTTCAATATACTCAAGGTGTTGGGCAAAGGTAGTTTTGGTAAGGTAAGTACTACTTGGATCTATTTTTTGATTGATTGAGTTTTTTTTTTTTTAACGGCTTATCAACCCTTTGTGGATTATTTAAAGCCAAAATATATGGTAAGAATCATTCTTTTTTGTGAATGCATATTGTATTAATAGTCTTTTGAGAATAACAATGGTTTTTAATTCATATATCTGGGGGTAAATGAATTCATACCTTTTCCAAGAGTATTTGCATGTAAGTGAATATAATGAACCTGATTGGAATTCAAACTCTGCTCTCTGATTTCATATTCCAAGCCACTATGCATTACACCACCCATATATTCATTTCAATTTTTGTGAATTTGCAATTTTGTTTTTGACTATTTTTGCTTCTTTTTTTTAATTTTTTTTTTTATTTTAAATAGATACATTAAATTTACTGGGCAGTAAAAAGGTATTAAGCTTTCTCTGGTAACATAAGAGTAGTGTATGTTAAACATACTTTAAAATTCCAGTCAAATCCATTACATTCACTTACATGCTAATACCATTGGGAAAGGTATGAATCCTTTTCTTCCCCCCTCAGCTATGGGTAAACAGTAGGACAGACCAGGTTCTATAGGTCTACTGGTCTTCCACAGAAAGAAATGGCAACCTACTGCGTCATCAGTCATGTATCGAAAGATACAAGATCACCTAAGTGTGCATCATGCATAGGACATAACTAACTGATGTTAAATATAGACGCCTAAATTATTTACTAAGCTTAACTTAGTCTGATATATCTCCACTCCCTGAGGATCAGACTCCCTATATGGGTGAATAAGTCTGTGAAGTGAACTTGCTGACAATCATGTTTCAGGAAGTTCCCAGTAGCAGCGGTATAATATCTGGTGAGGGTGGGTGATTGGAAAGTTCAAAGAAAAGGTAGAATTAGTTTATTATTCTCTTCAGTTCATTAGTAAAAAGCAGAATAAATATACATTTTACTACAAAAACAAACAACAAAAAAAAAAACGGCACCTTTGAATTATTCTTGGAAGCAGATTGACAGAAAAAAATAAAATTATTTTACTTCAACATCATTGGTTTGGTTTATAAAAAGGTGTGAGTTGCAGGTTTGAATGTATTTTCAATCTGGTTACTATTGGCAAGATTTCTTGCCAGTTTTTTCTCTAGTCCACTATTATCACTCTTTTGAGTATTGATAGGAGTTTCCTTCCTAACATTTTGTTTAAGTTGATGTGGAAAGTCAACATCTTGATTTATATCATAAATTGATAAAACCATTATTAGTCTGAAGAAATCCTTTTCAGGCACAAAACATATAATGTAGGAGTTTTTCCCATTTTTCTCATTCAATTAACCAAACATTTATGTATGAGTATGCATGCATATCTGAAGATTAGTCAATAAGTCTATAGCTTGACTTAGTTTTTTTATTATTATTTTTTTTTTTTACTCTTATTTCACCCAATAGAAAGCCCAAGGGCCCCTCAAGGTAGAGGGTTACTGAGTGAGATTGTTATAAGGGAAGAGTAAGAGAGCATTATGAGGTCAAGTAAGATAGAGGACCTAAAGTGACCAAGATTGTAATTGTCAGGAAGCATGTTCTTGGGAGTTTGATCCACAAAGTAACAGTTCTGAGGAGGAAGCTGTTTGAGCGAAATTTGTTTTTTTATCAAAGGTACACTAATGGAATGGGGGATGATTTACTACCATGAACATTGCATAACAGGTCCTGGCTGTGACGGTCTGAGTTGGTAGAACTAAGGAGTGTAACTTGTCTGAACATCTGCTATAGTAATAGCGATATAGTAGTGAAAGGCTAATCAAGAACCTATACTGGCAGTAAACAGCATGCATGCGCATTGGGAACGAGTTCAGTGAATATACAAAAATAGAAAGAGGCGTAAGGCAAGGATGTGTCTTCTCACCTGACCTGTTCAACCTATACAGCAAGGTAATTCTGAGAGAATTGGAAACCCTACTGGGATTTAGCATTGGTGGTCACAATCTTAACAACATAAGTTACGCAGATGACACAGTACTGATAGCAGACACGGAAAAGAAATTACAAAATCTCCTACAGAAGGTAGCGACGGAGAGTGAGAAGAAAGGACTAAGCATAAACTACAAGAAGACAGAATGCATGGTCATCAATAAAAAGATGAGCCTGAAATGCGATTTGCAGGTTGGGAACACTAGAATCAAGCAGACGCAGAAGTTTAAATGTCTGGGAAGCATCTTGTCAGAAGATGGTAAGTATGACACTGAGATCTGTAGACGTATTGGGATAGCCAAGGACACATTCCAAAAGTTGAGCAGAGTATTGCGAGACAGCAGGATTTCTTTGGCAACAAAGAAAAGAATACTGAGCAGTTACATGACATCTGTTCTTTACGGCAGTGAATATTGGACAATTTCCTCAAAGATGAGGAAGAGACTCGATGTGACAGAGATGTGGTTCTACAGAAGGATGCAAAGGATATCATGGACTGAGCATGTGAGCAATGATGAGGTCTTGGAGAGGTTGCAAACAAGGAGGAGGCTTATACTTAATATCAGGAAGAGGTAGCTGAAGTTCCTAGGACACATAATGAAGAAGGAGGGCTTGGAGAATCTGGTACTCATGGGCCAAATAGAGGAAAAGAGAGACAAGGTAAAACAATGTGTGACATACCTGACGAACTTAAGCAAGTGGATGACAGAACATGGTCTGGGGGGCGGGGAGTGGCAGAGGGAAGGAACTTGTTGAGAGCTGCAAGGGATAGGAGGAGGTGGAGAGCCATGATCACCCATGTCCTGAAAGGACATGGTACATAAAAAGAAAGTGAAAAGCTGGCAACATTTTGTTGCAGAGTGAAGAATAATTCATCACACACAAAGGCTGTGTAAATGCTTTTGAAGTCTGTTGAGGCTGAGCAGTGAGGATTTTTAATTGAGTTTTGCTTTTAAGTTTTCACTATTGAATTAAGTGCTTTAACATGGAAGGATATTACATTGAAAACTAAATCAGATGGATCAAAAAGAAAGTAAGTTGTAAGTGATAACCAAAGTTAAAACCAGCAAAAGTATGTGAGACTTCTGTTAAAAATAGAATCAAATAATAAAATATTTAATGACTGATATAATCATTTCTTTTGTAAACTTTGCTAGTTCTTGCTTTTAAGTATCTTTGTAACATTTTCTCTGTCTATTTTTTCTTATTTATGGATATTAGGTGATTTTATTTTTTTTAATATATTTTAGGTAATGCTGGCTGAACTTAAAGAAAACCACACCTATTATGCTATGAAAGCCCTGAAGAAAGACGTCGTATTGGAGGATGACGATGTCGAGTGTACAATGATTGAGCGACGGGTCCTGGCTCTTGGTGCACAACACCCATTTCTTACTCATTTGTTTTGTTCATTTCAGTCAGAGGTTAGCTATCATTTTTTTTCTTATTTTGTATCCTTTTAATCCCCATATCACAAATGAAAAAAATATGACAATTGTAAATAAAACTTGATGTTATCACTTGACAGGCCAAATAAACAGAGTTGATTATTTATTTTTTCTATGGTTATATCAAGAGGTCAAATAAAATTTGGCAATTAGGTTCATGAACTGTTTTTTTTTTTTTTTTCATTTTTAATTTACAATATTACTGAATATGTAAATGTTACTGTCTTGCTATGTTTCAAATATCCTCTCGGCAACATTAAATAAAATAGAAAAGAATTTAGCTTTTTACACCACTTAATTTTCAGTGCACTGTGTATAAAGTATGCTTGCATGTATATTTCTTGAAATTCTTGTCCATTCAGGATGTAGGTGATCATGACTCTCCACATCTTGTTTTTGTTGTTCTAAGTAATTTTTGACCCTTTACAATCTCTCATTGTCTCTGATCTGCCATATATTCACACAAACTTGTTATGTAGGTTCCTTGCTCTTTTTTCTTGTTTCTCTTACCTACACTATATACTGTCAGTGTTAAATTCTCTAGGCCTTCTTTCCTAATTATATGTCCCAGAAATTTCAGCTGTTTCTTTCCGATTGTAATTATAATTTTCCTTGTAGCTGAAAATATATATTGTAAGGTCCTGATTTATATACATTCTCTTTCAGTCACATCTGTTCTTTGTGATGGAATACTTAAACGGAGGTGACCTGATGTTCCACATTCAGAAAGCACGCAGATTCAGTATACAGTTGGCTATGTATGTATTCTTTTTTCCTCCCAAAATTCAAAATGCTTTTTATCTTCATTGTTCATTTTCTTAATATGTCCCTGATATAATAAGCATTTTGCAGTGTCTTTATTCATAATCTTATTTTTAATACAATCTCAACTTTTAGATGAATCACAAAATATTCTGTAAATTGCATTCAATGTTTTTTAGCTACTGGCTTTCACAAACTATTGATAAAATGAAACCTAATTTTAAAAAAAATGGCCACTGATAAATGATTATTGAAATATGTTTATTTTTTATAATTCAATTTAGATTTAATCCTTGTATGCAAATGTTGAATATAATTTTCAAAATATTGACTGTATAAATAATTTTTCATATTTTAATAATAAAAAAAAATCTGGTGAATTTATTATAGCAATTTTATTAAACAAAAACAAGAAAATTGTGATCAGTAAAAATGTAAATGTTAGAATCATCACAATAAAAGAAACTTGTAATTTTTTCTTGTAATTTTTGTGCATGTAGTCTGTGTAGTCTTTGTCATTTCTATAATCTGTTAATTTTCCAGAGAAAAGCTTGTAAAAGGATTTTGAATACATAATTGAGTTTATTACAAAATGCCTACATAGATACATGATACATTGACATTTTAATACTTGATTAGAAAAATAGAATCTCTTGAAAAAGATTTTATATTTTAGAAATTATGTCTTGTTTGCATTTTTTTTTTTGTGGTGGGGTTCTCTTTTGATTTCTAAATTGTGTAGAAATTCAAATTTATTTTAAACCTGAAAAAAATTGTTGGTGTCATCTTAAACAAAATTACCATATTCTATTTTTTTTTTTTTTTTAAACATTTATTACCAGGTTTTATGGAGCAGAGATTGTCTGTGGATTACAGTTTCTACATTCCAGAAATATTGTATACAGGTATAACTTTCTGGTTTAAGCATATCACTTTGGCCTTCTTATTAACTTATTACATTTCCATATTAATTTTTTATCTTAATTTAAAACCTCTTTTTTTATTAGAGTATAAAGATTCCATAAAATTATACATTACCAAAAATATATTAAAATGCAATAGATTTTAGGATTTCTTCGTTTTTTAAATGATATTACTTATGGATAATTTCTTTGTTTCTAGATATTTATTTCTGTATATAAAAATATAATAAAGTGATAAAAGGTATTTTTTTGTTGTAAACAATTTTTTAAAAAAGGTTATCCTTACTTCTTTATTAACCTTTACAACTCTGCAGGCGTACATGTCTGACAGTGATACCCTTTCTCAATATGCTGCAGGTGGACATATTCGCTGAGTGACAGAGCTTTGTTTCAAAGAGAAAGTACAATTCTAAAAATAACCTATTACTACAGAAATGACATCAATAAGCTTGTTATATGAACTGAGAATGACTGGATGTCAGCCATTTTGTCCTAATTGAAATACTTATTTTATCAGCAAATTTTAATAAAGTGTTTTAAAAATGTTTGCTATTCAATCACAATGACCAAACCTCCACCCTTGGAAGATATGAAAGCATTTTTGGCCTTGTTTTTGTTGATAGGTGTAGCAGAGACACACGAGGCTGGTTGGTTTAATCAGACAGTGCCTGCTAACATTTAAAAATAAAACACAATGGTCTGACAGATCAAAGGCAAGGACAACAAAAATGAGGAATTCAAAGAAAGAAAATGCCAAATCATTATGTTGATAAGAGTTCCGGAGAAAACAGATGGAAAACATTGGTTTTAGAACTCAAAATCTAGTAATGAGAAATGTTCAAAGTTGATTGGAGAAAAAGTTTATGTAGCGTTGCTGACAAGAAAACCGTAATGATTGGTATATTACACAGTATTGTATACACAGGAGATAGACTAATAGGATAATATGTGTAGAATACTAAACGGAAGAGTTGATACATACAAAGTAAATGTCCAGAACTATTTGATGGGCTGAAGAATATGCCAAATCAGTTAACAAATGCAGATGGAAACTGGAACAGTTGATGTTCAAAGAAAGGTAAGCTGAGTCAGTGACATGCACAGAAGATATCTGGAAATGGTCGATGTTCGAAGAAGGTACACTGAGCTAGTTGACGTTTGCAGAAAAATGTCACTGTGCTCCAGAAAAGGATAGTTTATGACAAGGATGATTGCTTTGCATATAAGATGCTGATGAACTTAGGAGAAGATTGGTATGCAACAGGAATGACTGCTATATGTAGTAAATACTGATATACACAGAAGAATGGTCGGTACCAGAGATGACATGCAGAGCCTAGAAAATGCCAATTGAACTTGGTGGTAGATTGGTATACAATGAGAATGATTGTTATGCATAGTAGGTGCCAGGAAGGTTGGTTGTATACAGAAGATAATGAAGCCAATGACAAGTGCAAAAAATACTGGAATGAATGGTCGTGCGCTGTGGCTGTGGGAACCATTGACAAGTACCAGAACGGGAGGTCATGTGCATAGAGAGAAAACCCATTCCCTGTAGACCCCATATACACACGGTCAGGCAGCTGTCTACCTCCCAAGACAAGACTCTGCCTTTCAGCATAGCTTCATCAGGGTTCTTCTCTGCTCAGAGGCAGCAAAATCGACAAAAGAGGAGAAAACCTACCATTGAAGAGGTAATTTTTGGCTGTTCATTTTATGGCATAAGGAGTGTTACAACATATGACGAGTTTCATAACAATTTCAAGTCATAATAAAAAAAACATATCAAATTACTTGATGTTGCAAATTATACTACAACAAGGACAAGTAGTGTTTATATTATGCAACCATAATCAAATATCTTAAAAAATGATGCAGTGAATTATTAAATTTAAATAACTGTTTAAGGTTGCATAAAAAGTTTTTGACTGAGTTGTTGTCAACAAGGGCAAGGTCATGAGAACCAGATTGTCAGTCATGCTGAAAATGAACAGAGTAGCAGAATTCTACAATATAGATTTCATAAAGTGACCTTCATATTCATCTTACTAGACAACAGACCACCTTTTATATATATTCAAGGCTTTTATGATGTGATGAGTAGGAATTGTTTTTCATCAATTCTCGTATTTTTTTTTATTTTTAATGTTTTGTATTTTTTTTTTTTAAATTTATTGTATGTACAATAAAAATGTCTTTATTTTTGTACATCTTTTCATGCAAATACCCTAAAAATTTTATAACAATATTTTTAAAACCCTAAAAGTTAGTGTTAGTAATATACCCATTATTCAAAAACTTACCACATCCTAAATTAATGTGGATCCAGGAGATACAACTTCAAATGTTAGTACTGAGTTGTAAAGGTTAATCACATGTCAAATGGTGTAGCATTTCATAGGATAAACTCTATTTGTGATAATATCTTCAAATAAACTTTAATTGTTTTTTAAGTCCATTTTTAACACAGAATGATAGTTTGGACATACTTTCAATACTTCAAAAACTATGCTAGTATAATTTCATCATTACCATTCAGTCTTTGAGTTTTCTTCAGCCATGATAAGTTCCACTCTCAGTTTGGTTTCATGCTTTGAACATCTATTGGGTTTCAAGTTTACTCCAGGCCTCAAGTGGAACTCTTAGATACAATCTTTTGCTAAAGATGCTGCAAAAATGGTCAGTTCATTCTACCATTCCAGAATGTACCTGATTTTTTTTCTGCTTTGCTCTATCTTTACAACAGTCAGATCAGACCAAAAATGAAGTATTACTGCTATGTCTGGACTGGAGCTGCTCAATGGAGCTATTCACAACCATTCATGCTGTCTGGTAGAGGAAGACTAGCTTTATTATTTTTGTTAAATCCCAATTATTTGTCTGACAGTTTTTTTTTTTGTTTTTTTTTTTTCAGAGATCTCAAGCTAGATAACGTAATGTTAGACAAAACTGGCCATATAAAAATTGCTGATTTTGGTATGTGCAAAGAAGGAATTGATGAACGTAACAGAACAAACACCTTCTGCGGAACACCCGACTATATTGCACCAGAGGTAAGTTTTGCTTAAGTATAATTCTGGCTTTTAATTTTATTTTCCTATAATTTTAATGGTTGTTAAATATAATTTTTATTATTTTTTTTTTTTTTTTTACAATATTAAGTTTTCTAAGGTTGGTTTAAAAATGTTAATATTTCACATTCTGAAATTTCATATCATTAAAAACTAGTTCTTTCTAAAGCCTTCTCAGAAGAATGGTAGCCAACAATTTCTAAAGCTCAAACAAAAAACAGAAAAACAAATAATGCCAAGAGCTATAATCTACTATTCACTCTAGAGGAACTAAATGAATCTTTAAAGAAAGCCCACAATACAGCTGTGGGCTCAAATGATATCCACTATGAATTTATAAAACAGTTACCCAACAAATCATTACAACTGTTATTAAAAATGTATAACAACATATGGAGAAATGGCAACTTCCCAGAAATGTGGAGACAGTAATTTATCATCCCTATTCCAAAACCTGGAAAACCACAGACTGATAGAATTAACCAGTTGCCTACATAAAACTATGGAGAAAAATGGTCAACAGCAGGTTGGCTTGGTATCTGGAGACTAAAGACTTAATCAGTGACTGTCAATGTACTTTTAGGGAAAAAAAAGCACCATGAACTACTTAATATGCCTAGAAACTTCTGTAAGGGAAGCTTTCATTAAGAAGGAATATCTCACAGCAGTTTTTTTTTTTTTTTACTTAGAAAAGGGGTACGGCACGACATGGAAATTTGGTATCTTAAAGGACCTGCATGAATTGGGCCTAAAAGAAAGTCTGATTCAATTCATAGAGAATTTCCTGGAAGACAAAGATTGCAAGTCTGTATAGGAGCTATGCTATCAGAACTGCAAAATCAAGAAGGGGTTCTTTTGGTGACCCTATTCTGCATAAAAATTAACTGTATAGTTAAATCCTTAAGCCTAGGAGTGAGATGCTCCCTATATGCCGATTGGTTTTCTAATTATGTACAGATCTCAACATGAATACTATTGAAAGACAACTCCAACAATGCCTCAATAAAATGCACAAATGGACCACTGGAAATGGTTTTACCTTTTCCAAAATGAAAACCAAATGCCTACATTTCTGTAAATTAAGAAAATTGCACAATGACCCCTGTTTAAAATTAGAGCAGAAATCCCAATAGTGGAACAACACAAGTTCCTAGGCATCTTCTTTGATAAAAAAATTAACATTCATTCCCCGTCTAAAATACTGAAAAATAAAAGGTAGCAAAGTCCTTGAACTTCTGCATGTAGTGGCCCATACTGAATGGGGAGCAGATCAATACTAATTAAATTATACAGATAACTACTTCACTCAAAACTGGATTACGCTAGTTTCATATATGGGACAGCTAGAAAATCATACCTAAAAATACTCAATGCAACTTATCATCAAGGCCTCAGACTAGTGCTTTTAGAACATCTCCAGTGGAGAGCTTATACACAGAATCTAATAAAACACCTCCACATTTAGAGCACACTAAACTGTCACTACACTACTATGTCAAAATAAAATCATGCCCAACTAACCCAGCTTACAGCAATACCTTTAAACCTGATTACTGTGATCTATTCCAACAAAAGGGGCAATACCATACAACCCTATGGACTCAGGGTGAAATCCACTGCTGAAGAGTTAGGGACCACATTCTCAAATATACAAGAAATGACTGCAGCCAGTGTTCTACCATGAATAATCAAACAAACCAAAGTCTTTCTAGGATTAAATAAACTACCTAAACAAAAAATGCACCTACTCTCATTCCAAACAAATTTCAGGGCATACTGGAAAACTACCCTAACCATACATCTTTCTATACATATGAGTCAAAGTGTAAGGACGAGACAGAATGTGTAGCAGTGAGCCAAAATATTACAATAAAAAAGGGTATCCCAAAGAGAAGCTCTATTTTCACTGTTGAGGCTTGTGCAATTGAGCTAGATCTCAACATCATCAAAGAAAGCAAACAAAAAACTTCTTAATTTTTTTGGACTCAGTATCTGCTTTGAAGGAAAAATAAATTCAACAACCCACTCATTATTAAACTATTATGCAAACTGAGCAGCACAACTTGCAAACATAAAGACGTCAAACTATGTTGGATTCCTAGCCACATCGGAGTGGAAGGTAACGATAAAGCAGACCTAGCAACCAAATCAGCTTTTAGATATGGATGTAGGCACAAGTGCCAAAATCCCATATGCTGATTTAAGGAGGTCATTAACAAATATATTCAAAAGAAATGGCAACGATGCTGGGAGGATAACCCACATAATAAACTCTTTGCAATTCAGTCCAAACTAGGAGAATGGAAGTTAACTTTCAGAAAATCTCATAAGGAAGAAGTAGTACTGGCCTGCTTACGGATTGGCCATATGTGAATAACCCACTCATACTTGCTAAACAATGAAGATCAATCAGTATGCTAAGTATGTGAAATGGCATACACTATTAAACATATATTAACTAAGCGTTCAAAACCTTGCTCTCTCAAGACAAAAATACTATAATATAAACTTGTATGAGATATTTGAGAAAGTAAAATATCATTTCTTAAAACAGTGCGCCTTTACCAAAAAAATATAAACCAAATTCAATTTCTTGACAAACTGTATATCTGAAAAGCATACATCAATGAAACCAGACTCTCGACAAAAACCCTCTTTACAAAAATATGTCAATGAAACCTGATCTACAAACTGATATCTTACAAAGAATACATATTGTATCCATACAAATCTATTATAAAAATTTTGTTGGCATTAAATAACCCATTGAGATTGATATACCATAAAACAAAACAGACCAAACCAAATTAGTAACTCCTTGTGTCTTAGTGACATTATTACTTGTGGGGAATTGATTAAAAGAAAAAATAAATCATGCAAGCTAGAATAACATTGTGTCCTTTAATTTTGGTCATAAAAATTTTTTAAAAATTAAAAAAAGAAAACCTTTATCAATTTTGATGAAACTTTTTTTAGATGGAAGTTCTATCTATTTTATTCAATTATAATATCGAATGGCCATTTAGATACAAATTAGAAGTAATGAAAAAAAAAAAAGCAATGTCCTTAACAAGACCATACATGGTCTGATCCTTATGCATGCTATTTCTTAGAGAACAAATGAACATTCTGATTTGTTGAAATGTTGCTTGCTGATCTGAAATAAGCTTGTGAATTAGGTTATGTGGGCTGAGCTTAATTCATTAGAATGCTGATATTACAATTATGTATTCCATAGCTGTTGTCATAAGAATAGCATCTGTGTCAACTGTTATCCTGTCTTGAGGTTTCTTCAAATATATTCATCTCTATCTGTTCATATACAATTCTTTATTTCATGTAATTATAGTAATTATCTTATTATAATTCTACTTATCCCTCCTCCCTTACTTAGTTTGCATGTACATATGTTATCTCCTGGCAATACCTCCTAAATAATAAACTATTCCATTTTGTTTGTGTGGAAAGACAGGAATCTCATCAGAAACTCTGTTTGGCTTAAGTGAGAAAAAGAAAGAAAGAAACACTTTGCCAATGTTTCATAAATAATGAATTTGATTGCAAAGAATAACAGAAATGTTTTTTGATTGTGATGAAAGACAGAAAATGCATATCAGAGATGCTGTTTGGTTTCATTGTGACAAAAAATGGAAGAAAAAATTCAAATAGGAATGCTGTTAAATTATCACAGGTACTACGAGTTATTAAATAACATTATTAAATATTTCACTTGTACTTTCCTATGCAGATTTTACATGGACAGAAATATGGAATTTCTGTGGATTGGTGGTCCTTTGGAGTACTACAATACGAAATGTTGATGGGACAGTCACCATTCCATGGAGATGATGAAGATGATCTCTTCCAGTCAATCCTCCATGACGAATTATTCTATCCTCGGTGGCTTCCAACTGATGCTGTTCGATGTTTAAGTGGGGTAAGTTATTTTTTTTTTTTTTTTTTAACAGAATGTTAAACAATGGCTGAAGATAGGGGAAGAGTTGCAAATCTCTCAGCTTGATTGTCACTTTGGCCTTCCTGCTTAGGTCCCAAGAATAATTGTAAATGCTCTCATATCCCAAATACTAGTTGGCTGATTCTTTTTAGTACAATGTAACAGTGAAACTAGAATTAATAGACATCTTGCAAAATAGGTTATTTTGAAGGTTGATAGTGTTCCTGCAGAAGATCTAATGTTTGGCATAGCTAGATGGGTGACTGCTTAGAAATACCATGTATGGTAGGCTTGCATGTACAGCTTTTGTGATAAATAATGGCTTGGAATTGGAAATTGGTGGCCAAACTTCCCATTCCAGTCAGGTTTGTTATATTCACTTACAAATACTTTTGGGAAAGGTATGATTCCACCTCTTCTTCCCCAGCTATGGGTTAATTAGTAGAACTTGTATCAGTAAATTATTATCTTCCTAAAATTCTTACAATGTAAAAATATATTCTGGCTTCAAATAAACTGCATATGGTTGATAAGCCATAAAAACAACTCAATCAATTACTCTTTTTGGCTTATCATATGGATTAATGCTGTGTTCTATCTGATGACCATAATATTTCCTTTACCTTCGGAACCATTCTAAAGACCTCAGCAAATTTCAAGTATATATTCTATGCTAATAGGAATATATACTTGAAAAACAAGGTGGATAAAATAAGTAAAGGTTTATTGTAAAAAACCAGTACAATAAGAATAAAGGTAACAGTTATGCACAAGGTTGTTGCAAGTCAATCCAGTAGTGGGTGCTACTATTGGAAGATCGGTAGTTCTCGTGTAAGTCTGAGTCATACTCAACAGATCCTAGCTAGACTCTGTAGTCCATTGACTTGCAGATACTTATAGGTAGTTACTACCTATAGTGTAGTCACTCATGGGGGTGACAGGTTATTCCATTACATCACTTCTGTAATGGTCACATTGTTGGTTCTGCTTCATTGTCCTCATCTTTATCAGCAGATAACAGCATCTTATAATTCCACATTTGTTAACACTTCCTAGTGACCTTCAGTTCATGCTTCTATATTTTCATCAAGCATTTTGAAAAAAAAACTTTCATCTGGATCAATGATTCTCTTAACTCACTCCTTCATCACTCTCAAGAAAACTTTTGGAATCACTAATGACATTACTATATATCCTTGCAGGAGCAATTACAGTTTGTGATTTTAACTAAATTTTTGTTTATAAGTTTATTTATTAATTACTAGAAACTCCTTGGTTTTGGAACATAATTTTCAGTATTTTCATTTTTAAATAACTCTCTTCACCTGGCATGTTGTCTTCAGTCACTTTCTCACTGCTGTAGCATTTCTTCTCTTTATCTCTTCTATAAATATTTTCTAGGATTGGGTTTCTGGTTCCTTTAACTCTATACTTCTAACATCTCTGCCTAAATTCTAAAATTTATACTAATTATTTATTTTCTATTTTTATTACTTTTTCAGTTACTTGAGCGAAATCCACAAGTTCGATTAGGGATGCCAAACTGCCCACAAGGGGAAATTCGCAATCATCCATTCTTCAAACCTATTGATTGGGAAAAATTAGAGAGAAGAGAGGTAGAGCCTCCATTCAAGCCCCGAGTGGTAAGTAACACCAACCGTAATTTATTTAAACTTTGTCTTGTTTTAATTTTTGAGGGTTTTACGTTCTAATGTTTTAAGTTAAAGAATAAGATAGGTTTTTCCAAAAGTCAAAATAGTTTTATAATTTTTATCCTAACTCTTCTGGGAATAATGACACATTATTATTTATGTATACCGTATATATTTGTGTATAAGCTTCATGTATTGTGTGACTCCTGAATTTTTTACAGGAATTTTAACCCCTTGAGAAAAGATTCACCTGTGTATAATGCAACTGGCCACCGAAAATGCATGATTTTTAACCTCTTCAAAAAAAATTTACCTTTGTATTGTGTGACCCCTTATTTTTTATATAAAAAAAATGATCTTATAAAAACTCATACTTATACTCAAGTATATATGGTAATTAAAATTTCTCCACTATTTTAATTTTACATATTTACAAATTTCTTAAATCATTGGAATAGTATTAAGGTTATTAGATTTTTTTGTGAAGTAATCTTTAAAGAACAGGAGTTGAATACCAAATTTTAATTCTCTACACTGAAGCTTATAAGAATTAATATTTACTTTTCTGCATTATTTACATTCAGACTAATGTTGTTGATTTTGTTGTCATCAACATCTTAGCTGTTGGACTGTCTGCCATGTTTCATTACACCAGTATGCCTTTAGATTTTGATATCACATTTTCCAGCATCTATTAAAACATTTCTGTGCTTGTTTTACTTTGACATCTTTTTTTCTTGTTGACAACCATGCATTCTGACTTCCTACAATTGATAGTTAGTCCTTTCTTCCTTCTTTCCTTTATTACATTGTCTAGGAGGTTCTGTAGTTTTCTTTCTGTGTCTACCATCATATACATGGCCATAAAAGTTAATTCAAATATGATAAGCAAACTATGAGTCTTTCAATACTAAGTAAATCACACAAAAATTCTTCTTTGTATCATTTCCCTTTAGGATATTGATGATCATGACTCTCCACAATTTCCTGTTCTTTGTAGCTCTTCATAAATTTTTTCTTTTTGTCATCTTTCCTAAACCCTATTCTGCTAACCTTGTTAAGTAGGCTATGCTCTATTTTCTTCTGTCTCTCTTGTCTTCAATATGTCCTGTGAGTGTCAGATTTTCCAAGCATTCTTTCCTCATGTGCCCTAGAAATTTCAACTATCTCTTTCTGATGTTACATATACATGTCCTCTCTGTTTCCATTTTTTTTTTGTGTAAAACTTCATCATTGCTCACATGTTCCATCCATGGTATTCTTACCATCCATCTGTAGAACTACATTTCTGTTGTTTCGAGTCTCTCCTTCATCTGTGAGGAGATTGCACAGCATTCACTGCTATATAGGAAGACTTACATTATGTAACAGTTCCATACTCTTTTCTTTTTTTCTAATCAAATGTTCTTGTTTCTTAATACTTTGCTTAGGTTTTGGAACGTATCTTTCATTATCCCAATGCACGTTCAGATTTTGGTATCACACTTTCTGTTCTCTGTTAAAACATTTCTCAGATATTTAAATTGCTGTACTTGTTTGATTTTGGTATCTCCTATTTGTAATTTTCAGATTGGGTTGTTCCTTTTGCTAGCAACCATGTATTCTATCATCTTGCAGTTGATGCCCTTTCTTCTCACTTTCCTTCAATACATACTGTAGTTCTTTTCTATGTCTGTTATTAACACTGTGTCACCTGCATATCTTATATTGTTAAGACTGTGGCCGCCAATAATGAATCCTGATAATATTCTCTCAGAATCACCTCACGGTATAAGTTGAATAAGTCTGGTGAGAAGACACATCCTTTCTAACGATTTCTATTTACTGAAATAATTTTCTAACTATATGCAGGTGGTTTGCTGCCAGTATAGATTATGGATTATTCTAATATCCTTCCCAAATATGTCAACATTACTTAGCAGTTTTAACAGTTCTTTGTGACATACTTTATCAAATACTTTTGCATAATCTATAACACTCGGGTACACGTCATTCAGCATATCCGGTGTAATTCTGCAACATGCTATATTCATCAGGATCTGGATAATTTTGTTATATGACTCATTAGGCTGATTATCCAATAGAGTTGACATTCATTTACATCTGGGTTCTTAGGCAGTGCTATGAAAATGGATCTACTGTGGTCTTCCAGTATATTACCACTGTTGTATATTTCATTTATTAGATCTGTAATTTTGTCAATGCTGGACAAAAATTACTTGCTCTCAATTACTTACTGATAAAATAAATCAAGGCTTCTTGAAATAACTAACAAATAACTTTCGCAATAATCTACATTTTATTTGTGAAAAATTATTGACTTGAAATCTAAACAATGCTTTTAATTTATTTTTTCTCTTTTTTTCAGAAATCTGAGTGTGATTCCACTAACTTTGACAAGGAGTTCACTTCAGACGAAGCGAAGCTGACCCCACCTGATAAGGAGCTGTTCCGAACAATAGATCAGAAGATTTTCCAAAACTTCAGTTTTACTGCTTGAAAGGACTGCTTGTGTATTCTTGTGATAAATCTTACCGTTTGTGGTCATTCTTTTGTGGAACTGATCCCCATCAAACATTTGCTACATTTAACTCCACACAATACAATGGTAGGTCTCCTGGATGATGTTAAATATCACTTCACTAGCTGCTTGGTTCTCTAGCTGTAATCATATGTTCATTTCTCAGAATAGACAAAGATTTAAGGTTTGGGTGGTGGTGCCAATAATCATCATGATTTTATTTTTACAAAAAATTAGTTTTCGAAGAAAAATTTGAAAATTGTTTTAAATTTTTTTTTGTTTTGTGTTTTTTTTTTTATACACTTCTTGATCAATATTTGAAATTTTTCAAATTATAATTTTCCTTCCTTCGTAAGAAAAAAAATTGTGAAAAAATTAAAAGAAAATGCAATTTAATAAAAAAAAATAAAATCCTTCCCCTCCTCCAAGAAATTCTATTTGCTTCTTTGAAAAATGACTTTTATGGATTTTCTAGGTTGTGGTGCCTAATATTTAGCTTATATTAATTTAATTATACATACATACATACATATATATATATATATATATATATATATATATATATATATATATATAATTTAAATTTTTTGGTTAAGAGAAGAATATTAAACCCCCCAAAAAAAGAAAACAAAAACTAAAAAGCAAAACCTCCCAATTTTGCACCTGAGTCCTCTCTGTTATGCACAACAATTTATTTGATTTTTAATGAGTTGATGGTGAATTTCATCAAACATTTGAAATGGTATTCTCCATATTGGAGTATGAGACAATTTCTTTAACCATTGCCTTCAACATGGTGAGTGTTGTAGTGTCTACCAATAAAATAGTTTGGGCTTTTATTTATCTGTTCAAAAATCTGATCTTGGCTATTGTGACAGGGCCTTGATAAGTCAGAGATCTCATATGGAAATAAATCACTTAGCAAGTATTTAAAATATTTAATTAATTTTTTTTTTTTTTAAATCTTTAAATTTTTTTACGTGGCAGCAGATTATTAATAATTTAAAAAAAAATTTTAGTTTAAAGGCAGTTAGTTTCATTTCTTTATTTTTTTTTTTATTTATTACCTTTTTAAGCCCTCCAATTTTTTTTATTTATTACCTTTTTAAGCCCTCCAATTTTTGCTGGCACCAGCTTTAAATAACCTTGAAAATTTAAAAAAAAAAATTAATAAAAAACAGGAGTTGCTGGAAATACCCACTTCTCAAAATTAATAATCTTAATAAATTAATATACATCCAAAATGCCTGTGTTATTTGTAAAGGTTGGTATAAGAAGCTGATTTCAAGAGTGGGAAATGTAATTTGCCTTGTTTTAAATGGAAAAAGATACACTTTTAAACAAAGAAAAGATATTAACAATTCCAAATTTGAGTTGTTTCCAATTGGGATTTAAAAAAAATTCTAATCATTGAAAACTGCTTGCCTTGTTTGAGTTAGCATTCAACTCTTATCTTTTGACAATATAAAATTGTTTTTTTTTTCTTAAATGAATTGGGTACGATTTTTAATTTTTTGAGAACCGAGATCTACAAGGCCATATAAACAAGTAAAAAAAAAAAAAAAAAAGTTACTGCATATCACATGCACACACACATGCCTCGTTTGACACCTTCTCATTTGAAAAGAAAAAAGCAAAACAAAAAAAAAACCTTTTTATGAGCTGAGAAAAATCAATTGATTCAACCAACAAAAATTTCCATCATATCTTTTGCACAAACTTCACTCTGTGATGATGTGACCAAGGGAGATAACCAGCAGCATTTTTTCCTGCTATTACTTTTCGTGGTCATACACTAAAAAAAAATATAATAAAGCTAAGAAAAAACAATTGATCAACCCATCGTTTCTTTCCTCCTCTTCCAACTGTGACTAACTTTACTGTGTTGGATGAGCAATTCTTTCTCCCACCCAAACCTTGCTCAATTCTATTTTGAAAAAGCTGTGTACATATGTATAATTGTGTGCTTTCTTTTCACTCAAATATACAATCACATATTGGGGTAGGTTATTTCATGTCATATGGAAAAACAGAAAAGAAAAATGTTGGGGGCCCCCATCGTTTTATGAAATTATTAACCTCCTACTCCCTCTGAAACTTTTCCCCCCACCCCATTTTTCACTTTTAAAAAAAAAAAGAAAAAAGAAAAACTAACCAGTTTTGTACTTCCTTCTTGTCTGTTTAGATGTTGCCTTAACCCTTATTTTAGCTTCTGTCTGACAAAAACAAAATATTGTCCTTTTTTTCCCCCCTCCTCTTTTCTCCTTTAAATATAAGCAGAGTGCATGTTAAAGAGGGGTATGTATCTCTGGCTTATTCCACTAATTCATCTCACAATTATCTGCTAAAATGACCCCAATTGCTCAGATGTTTATTTCAGTCAAAATTCTGTCTCTTCTGCATACCATCCATAATCGTTGGCCATTGTTTCTGTGCCTTGTCCTCTCATCATAACATTAAGTGACTATTTAAAAAAAAAAAAAAAAAAAAAATGAATAAAATAAAAATTATCATATCTTCCTCCCCCCTATTTTGCTACCCACCTTTAAAACAAATTAGCAGCTCATATTAGATATTAGTTTAATTTTTGATTGGGAACGGAGAATATAAACATTTATAGAAAAATTATGCATTTTATTTAGGGAATCCAAGTTGAAATGCATTGTCATAGACTGGATATGGTTGCTTGAATATAGAATTTATGGGAAATTGCTTTCTTCATCAGTTTTTGGAATTTAATTTTATTAAATATACTTTTCTCTTACATATTTTCATTTAAACATGAATTTTAAACTTGAGTTTTTAGACATTTTACAGATAATTGGAAGGATGGAAGGAAAGAAAAAAAAAGGCAGGATTTGCTTCTTATTAAAAAGAAAGAGCATCTAGATTTAATACACAATTTTTATATCTTTTGAAAATTAGATCCCTTGTATTATTTCAAGTGCTGCTGTATCTAGCAAATAATAATTCTCTATCTTTCATGAGACCTGTCAATCAATGCCTTAACTGTATCAGCATCTCTGTTCTGGTATAGCTGCATGTTACTAAGGGAGACAACTCTTACGTACACAAATTTATTGGGTCTCATCATTTCATTACTTAATTTTTTAAGCTCCTCAATGAATCTCATCATTAAACATCCCCAACTGAAATTCATTTACTTTTTTCTCTCCATCTCTTTTCTGCCTTCCTTTTCACTGCATTGACCTCTTTATACACTCCCATACTGGAATCAGTGTTCACTGCAATGTTTTGTGTGTGTGTGTGTGTGTGTGTGTATATATATATATATATATATATATATATATATAATGTGTGTGTGTGTGTGTCAGAAACATTCTGAAAATGTGTTTTTATCTGTCTTACACTCAAACTTTATTTTTCTTTCACATTTTGTTATTGAACATTATCTCCTCCATTTTGTTATATTAGTGTCTGAGCACAAAGTTGACTTACCATTAGTTTGATTATGCCCAACAATATAATGTAAAAGAAGAATCAAAAATAATTTATACAGCTTCAGATGTAGTGCTAGACTTTTAATGTTGTAGATTCATTTACCAGAAATTGAAAAGAATTTTTTTTTTTTTTTTTAAAAGAAAGGAAGAGAATTTTTTTTTTTTTTTTTTTGTTCCAAAGTGGGGGAAAAAGTTACTTGAATAATAGTTTCTGTTCATTAGGGATCTTTCCTTAATGTCTGGAGATATTGAATATTATTCATCATAAACCTGATTTTCTTTATTTGTCAGATCAATCCCATGTTACTGGTATTTGGGTTATGGGAATATTTTTTACAAAGAACTTATAAATTCTTATAATTAAATTCAGGTAGCTAAGGCATGTATACATAAAATCATTATATTTTGTTTTGTCTATACCTGTGCTTTCTTTTCTTGGTTTTATTCTTGAGAATATCTCAATATCCCTCTCCCACTTTTTTGTGCACATGCCTGTGTGACTTTAATGATAAAAAAACTACTATAATTTTAATCTTTTTATTTTGTGATAAAGTGATATAAATATATAAGTAAAATTATTTCACATCTTAAAATTTTTTAAAAATTTATTTTTAATACAGACAGGCATAAAAAGTGTAAACAAATACTAAATTAGCCACTAAGAGGATTTGAACCTATGATCAAATGTTCATGTGCCATCAGTTTATGTGAGACATTATCGTTAGACTGATAAATGCCAAAAGCCTTGATGATGCTGCAGTCTGCTGATAGGCTCACGTCATACCAGTGACTACTTTATTTGGTATTTGTTTATATATTTGCTATGGATGTAAACATTAAAAATAATCAAGTTATTGGAAAATAAGTTTACTTATATACATAAAATGACTTATCAAAAATCTTTGCATTCCGGATCTCCAGTAACTCTTGCTCAAAATAAAAAGAAAAGGAGGGACAAAAAACTGATTCTTCCAGTTTTTCTGTGGAAATGCTGAGTGATGGGTTGAAAGATTCTGTAAAGCCAAATATGACTGTTGAAACTTTCCAGAAATTCATTATTTCCTACCAAAATTTTAAAATTAATCATTACTAATTACTTAAACAAAAACAGACTTGATTTATTTGAAAATATTATAAATTCAGAAAATTTAATAATTTAGAGAATGCTATATGACCTTCTTACAATGAAAAAGAGTTTGTTAAATTGAATTTTAATTGATCCTAGCATATTTTATTGGACATATTAATCACTACCTCTTGTTTGGATACCCATTAATTTTTTTACTCATTTTCTGTGAAAAGCAAAAATGTATATTTGGCTTGAGAATATTTCTTAAACATGACAGTTCCAAAGTATGTCCATGAATATTTTGTGTATTTTTTTTCTTGTGAAATTTGGCCTTAATATTTATATTGTAAAAGCAAGTTGGCCAAATATGAACTTATACAACACATTGGAATAAATTTATCTTTTGATTGTTGCTTCTGATGAAACAACTTGGTAAAAAAGAAAAAAAA